GGGTGCACTATAGACCCTGATTGTTTTATTTAGGGTCTCCTGCATTATTGCATTTCCTAACCGATATTTTTGAAAATTTATTGCAATAGCCATTCTTTTTTTTTCTCAAAAGTTTTTTGAGAAGCTAAATGAAACCAGAATAGATATCACATATACCAGTAATATGTTGGCTTGGGACCAATTATGTCATGTTTATGGGACCAATCCATGTTCCAGCCCATGAATTAGTTTCTTTTTCTATTAGATCCGCAGATTGGCTTCAATATCAGAAAACTATCATCTGATTTATCTGCTGCCCAAAGTTTATAACTAAATCTCATGGGCTAGCCACGTATATGTCGTAGTATAATGTTGCCATGTTGACCACAGTTGACTTTCTTCTCTGTTGATAGTCATTGTTTTCACATTTGGCGATTACTGTTGCTACTATGACTATTCTCGATAGGCGAGCAGAATGGCTGATGGCTGCGTCATCTGAGTTATCTGAATCTCGGTATGTTTCGTTTGTTGCTGCTTCAGTGAAAGGTTCAGTCGCAAATATTTGATCTTCGTGTTATTCTTCTCTCAAAATCTTAATTATTTCATGTGACGATCTGCCAAAAATACAACTAGAAAAAAGTGACTCGGATGAAAAATTGTATAGTGTTCTATGTACGTACCTAATTTCAAATACAGCAACTTTTGGGATATATATACTCCTAACAGCTCTAAAGATAATAGTTCACTAATAAATAACAGAAAAACTGTAGATCTAAGATCTAAATAAATAATTTCTAAATACAAACAAGTTTTTGAAATACAGTGCGTAACTATATCACAAAGTAATCTACTGGGAAAATGATATGACCGGAATGCTTACACTACTGCCGAGCGGTTCTATTTGGAACCAGACAAAATATTTCATGATCCAAATGACTTTAGAAACATTATATCACGTAATACCATATACAGAATTAAACGTACTCTCTTTATTGATAAAATTCTGCATCTAACTTATAAATAATATATTTTTAGAATGAACTACTTACCTTTCTCTGCAATGATGTCAAGCTCTTCTGTCTGACACCCGGTACTTACAATCTTTTAATGTTAACTGAGCAGGGAGTAGTTGGCGCAGCAGAACCAAACATTGCCAGAACACGTCCAAGATGTGTATCAAACCTATGCATCCACTAGTATATTGATTTGACCAAATAATTTTATTATGAATCCATTTTTTCCGCTGGTTCCAAATGGAACCGCTCGGCATTAATGGGTTAACGTGAGAATATATTACCTATACTGACTTCCACACTGCTGTCAAGACCCTGGCCTTCACAGTGGTAAATGGGTGACTTTTTTGTTGATCATACCTGATGAATCAGGATTTAAATTATTCTACTTATGAATAAAATCTTGCAGCTCCAAAGTGGCAATTTTTTATACATTTGTAATCTTGAGGCCTGATTGTGCACTTGTATTAACAATAACGCAGAAGATACCTAATGCATCTGGCAGGATTCATCTCCAAAAATGGCAGGAAAGCTTTGGTCATGGTTTGAAAAGTATAAGATATATTCATGCCAGTGTTGAATCCTATAATTGGAGCAGTAAGTAATATCATGGATACCAGCATTGCCATAAATGAATCTTGAACAAAATGTTGAAATTTGTAGTAGATTTGGAAATTAGATATGAACTGATTCTAAAAAAACCATTTGCCCATTTGCTGGTGACATTTGTGCTATGGCAAAGTTAATGGCATTATTTGCAGCAGGAATCTTATGGCTCAAAAAATGGTGAAAAAGCTGCAGTTGGGGCATGGAGAGTAAAAATGGGAGCCTGTTTCAGTGCAGTATATACATCTGCCAATTGATGACTTGTGCCACATTGATGGTTGATAATTTAAAAACCTGCAGTCATTCACTTATATACAACTTGACATGTACAATCTCGGGGATAAATGTATCGACTTGTATTGATATCCTACAATTAGATTTGAGAATGTAAAATTATCGAGTGAGAAATTTCTTAATGAATTCATTTTCTTCAAAATTCATAGCTTCTTGGTATCATTCTGTAAATCATATTGGTAAACAAAAAAATAGTTGGAGACTAGTTTATTTCTAATATCATGATCTACTTCAGTATTTCATATCTGAATTTTTTTTGGTAACAAATCAACATCAAAGTTTCTGTTATCAGAAGATTGGTTTCTTTTAATTAAACAAATTAAATACCTTTCTATGTACTTTTAGTAAGGAATATTGAAGGCTTAGGTAGTTCTGACAATAAGTCCTCAAAAATACTGCCAATACATAAAGGCCTAAAATAAGGATCTTGGCAACACAATTGCCAAACTCTGCATAGTGGGGAGGGAGGTCAATAAAAGTCTCATTTGAAATTTGGCCACTATGCTCTAAACTAAAGTCTTCAAGGATGAGGTAGCAGTGTCTTTCCAAGCTTTCTATTATGCCATCTTGACTATCTTTAAAATCTTATGAATTTCAATTGTTCTTTAAAATCTTATCTTGACCTTTGTTATTGCTATTAAACTTTTATGACATAGCTGCATATTATTGATTAATTTGCAATCTTTACTTATGCAACCTTATCAACCTTCTGATCACAAATGATTCATGTTTATGTATAGCTTGGATATAAAACATTGTTGTAAAAGATCAAGTCTCTTTTTCCAGAACTCAAAGAAGAAAAGGCAAGGTTCAAGCAATGCCAGAGTTAAAATGTAATATGCATAGATAGGATAATGACCATCAATCAATCAACTTTTCATTTTGATTTTGCTTGCATGGTTGTAATTTATATAAATTGGTGCCATTGACTGCTAGTTTATCTGACTATTAATATTGCCTTTTCCCTACATTTTTCCAGTTTAAATATATTGTTCCTGTGTTAAGCGCAGGAGGATTAATTCATTGCACCCTTTAACTTAGCACTGGAATCTGACTTCATCTAATACTGGTGTAAGTAAAGAAGTGTTGAATTCATGGTCATGTTGATTGGGAGTAAAAGACAACTGAAGTACCATCAACCGGGGCTACTCGGGACGGGCAGGGTAACTCGGGACAGTCCTCTGACACGGCATAAAACTGTTTTAGTAGCAGAACTAATTGGAATATTGCAAAACTAAATATAGTGGCGTAAACGTCAACATTTTTCCTATCTATGTAGTATGAAGGAAGTCAAAAAATACTACAGATTCCTGGAAAAAATTGTGAAAAACGCTATTTTGAAAAGTTACTTCTGCTAAGGAAAAGTTACCTACTGCTGTAGTAAAAAAAATATTTGCCGTATTAAAAAGTTTTACTTACATAAAAGTTGCACCAAGGTGTCGTCTTGAAAACTTTATTTGCATAATTTACATACGTACCTCAATCCCCCCAAAAAATGGCAGCCATTTCCGCACTGCGGGGCTACTCGGGACACCCCCCCGGGGCTATTTGGGACACCCCCAGAAATGCATTTACAGTAGAACCTTGGTAAGCAAAGGCTCCAGTTAAGAAAAAAATTGATTAAAAACAAAGAATATTGATTACATTTACCTTGCTCGGCAAAAAAAATTTCACTTGTCAAAAAATTAGTGCATCATCAGTCATCACAAAATTGTGCATAGAATGTCATATATAGAATTGTGCACCAGGCATCATAGAATGAAAAGGAATTGACCTAAACTATGATTTATTTCTTCAAAACATATGGTTGTCACTAAAACATTCCTTTCTGTTTCAGGTATGTTTTTCACAATCTTTTTTTATAGTAAATTCACTTAACCCAATTAAAATGGTGTAAAATTACAAGGCGTCCTGTAAGCTTACAGATACAGAAAAAATGCTATAAGGCTGCTGATATGAAGCTTGCAGTGGACAAGGTTGTTGTAAATGCTCAATGGCATGTTCATGGATACGGTAATATCTCATCAATAATATGGTAATCAATGTATATGGTAATATCATATCAATAAAGGAAAAACGAGTAAAAATCCATAAAAATTTCATTTATTCTACCTCTACATCATCTACAATGAAAGAGGAGGACTTCAGAGTACTGTTAGTAATGGATGAGTACACTCTGCATGCTTCAAATATTTTAAAATGAAGTTTTATTCAAAGTGTCCCGAGTAGCCCCGTTCAATGGGGCAACTCGGGACACTCTTTTTTTGCTTCTGGCATCTTATGAATAGCATATGGAATTTTTTTGAAGATTCCATTCGATAGCCCTCGCAAAGAGCTATAAAATGAGCCTAAACTTGTTTATGAAATGTGTCATGGTAAGAAGTTATTAACAAAAAACGCTCAAAACCGTCCTGAGTATCCCCGGTTGATGGTAGCCATAAATACAAGTAGATGGAGACTAAACTAGTATTGTGCTTGAGGACTGTTTTGATTTACATCTAGTGTTTATTAACTAGTGATATGAAGTACGGAGCACAGGACGGTTGTTGCACAGCTGCGAGATTTAAATGAAAATACTAACAAAAACTACTGCAAGCAATATCAGATGACCTTGATGCCAAGCATGGGTCATAATTAATTGCACTAAAACTTCAAAATGTTACTTGGAACAATCATGTTAAGAAATAAATGATCATTGAATAAACAATCATTGAGCCAATTCAGAATTGGTAAATTAATAAATAACAGCTAAGAAGCTTGGAAATATATTGGAAAGTTGCAACAGATAGTAAGCACTGAAAGAAAAATATTAAAGTTTAATTGAAATAATGATGCAAATGGAATAATATAGGTACTGTAATGCAAGAACTGTGTGACTGTTAAGAACAGAATGTTGTGCAAAGTAAACTTACACAAACAATATTAGTTGCACTTATATAATGCAGGCTAGTAATGCAAGTGGTAACAAAAGCTGTGGGAAGTAATGGAATTAATTAGATTCAATTAAAGTGGCAGGAAGAGCTTCACTTCCTGCCCTGTTCCTGTTTTTTGCTGAAGTTGTTATTATGCATAACTAAACTAAAAGCATGTATAATATCTTCTGTGCAGGTACCAGTGACAAATGTGATTAATATAATATCTATCTTGTGTATTAGTGTATCCTCTGTCAGGAAGAATCTCATTTAATGGTTCATAATAAATAGACTAGATAAAGTTTTGATTTTGTTGCAATTTGAGTGACATTCTGAGCATTGCCACCATGGGACTGGAAGATGATGCTGACGGAGATGACCAGGTGGCGGTCATCATGAAGGGAGAGGTAAGCTGCCATTGTGTGATGCTTCAGGTCTTGTGTAGTTATGTAAAGGCTTCATTTTTATTTCTTATCTGCCTGACCACAAATCTGAGGAGTATTAAATTTAAATGATATAATGATGAATAAACTGACTCAACTGATATGAATATGAACATTCTTAAACTTGTAAATCTTACCTGCTTATTTTGCTAGCTACTTTAATATTTTAGGAAACATTTATGTTTATGAATATATATGTACTGGTTATTTAAACTTGGTCCAACAATTGAGATGCAAAATCTTTTGTTTCATATCTATTTCAGTGTGAAGGGGTTTAGGGATAAACCAGTTCTTGTTGTTTTTGTCTCTGTTGGGCACTTGAACTGTATAGGTATAGCTATGTGTATCAGAACAGACCCATATTTGTTGCATTGGTCAGCAGTTTGAATATGTTCAAATTATAATAAGTTTTTCGAGCTCCATGATAATGATCCTGGCTATCCATTTATTTTACAGACTGTAACCTAAATTTTCATGGCTTTAAATCACTTAAATTGAAAATTCGAAAATATATATAAAAACGCATGAAAACATTCACTATGAATCTTCATGTAGAGAAGACTAGTTTTGTTATAATATCTGGCTGTCTATTTCACATTCTTTGATTTCAAAGCGGCTGACAATTTTTGCATGAAATTACTTCATTTCTAAACGTATTGTTAAATTAATTTTATTATTTTTGTATTTATAAAAAGTGTCAAATTGTTTTATTAACATTGTTGCATGGATCTCAGACATATCGGCTTGCGGCTCTGAAGCACAGTGAGCATCATGACGTTGAAGGCAAACTCTATGACAAGCTCTGCAGCAGAACCAGCACCAAAAATCTGTCTCGAAATGAAGTCAGAAAACTTGCCTTGACTGTGGCCAAAGAAGTGAGTAGCTTTGGTGCTCCTTATGCATATCATTCTGATGATCATAAGTGCATTTAAATATCCATAGTTCTATGGGGAGTTTAATTAGTATTAGGTTACATTTATTTAGCCTCTCCATGTTCCTGTATATGTCTTTTGAGCTAAAATAATGTTATACTTTTAACTCCTGTATTGATAAGAATTCATATGTTTATCAATGATATATGTTGGTGGTTGTTGTTGTTGTTGTTGCCCCGCGCCCGATCCCGGCGTCATTGATCCAGCCGTGGCTGGAGCCAACGCACGACCGCAGCTGGGTCCCTCCAAAGGTCTATAGTGCTGAGTGGAGTTGGATTGTTGGGGCAGTTGAAGAGGTGGGGCACATCATCCGGGGAGAGGTGGCAGTAGTTGCATAGGTTATTGATATAGGGACTCATTGAAAAGGCGTGTCAAGTAAGCAATTCCGAGTGGTCCAAGATATTTGAGGTGAAAGATGGTTAGTTTGTCTGGTCCAGTAGCCTTGGAGGGACGGGATTGTTTGATTGCGTTGGCCACTTGTGCCGATGAGAAGGAGGGACTGTCCGATAGGTTGAGGTTCTTTGACTTCCGGGTTGTGATTCTATTTAGTTTATTAGACCTGTGTTGAGTGACAGCCGTAAAGAGACTGTTGAAGCGATCAGCAAGCTTTTTGGTGTTATTGATGGGTCTCTCATTGAAGTTGATGGCGATATTGGGGTAGTTTTTAGGTTTGCCGGCCAGGGCCTTTATTGTTGACCAGAGGCGGTTCACGTTGGTGAACCAATATGTTGGTACTTGGTAGCCCTGTCACAGCTAAATTTTGCTAAGCTTTTTACCAGCAAATTGTTCCAGAATTGATATTTTTTATGCTAAATCTGTCCCAATAGACTTGAAGGTTTGACGTTATAATAGCCCAATTAAGAAGATTTTGACAGGTCTTCTACCAGGATGTTTTAGAATTTAGGGTAATAATTTATAGCATTTTGGAGAGTGACAAGCACACTGCATGGTAGCACTGGTGTCAATGTGTACATTTCTTTTCAGGTTAACGATGATAAATTTGACGCAACTGTGAACTGGCTGGATGACTTCATGCGGCGCTTCTGCTTGTCAACCAGGAAATCAAATTCACTTGGCAAGCAGATTGCAAAACTCAAAATCAAGGTTTGATACACATAGATCAAATTGTGATTTGATATTTTTCACAACTTGCTTATTTCTGGAATTATATTAAATTAAGGCTCATGCTTACTAACAGCAAATTGTTTCCATCTCTGGAACAATTGATGCCTGTTTTGGCATGAGATCTTTCATTTTGATGATGTAGCATTTTCACCCATAAAAGGTTATCAACCAGTGACAGTTGGAGAATATTTTTCTTATCACCCAGACCATTTACAAAACTACTTGTCATCCTGTTGGTTATGTCAAGTTGTTACTAATGCATTGGTTGTGGATAATGTCTGAGAGGCTGTCATTAGTTCTGGTGGGACTTAGAGTGAAATAAAAACCAAGGTTCCAGCAGAATGAAGGTAATGATAATTCAAGTGTTTATTGTTGACATAAGTGAACAATAATGCAGAAAATCTAATGTGAATGATTTGCATCAATGCTACAAATTAGACCTGGAAGAGGGAGGGAGCAGTGACATGAGTATAGTATCAGAGCGGCAGCTGATTGAGACTTTCAAGATGTAAAGATGTAGTAATAACATGCCTGTGATCAATGAACTTAACTAAAACCAACACTGCTAACAAGTTTATCTGTTAAATAGGTACACCAATGTAAATGAATTTAGGTATGATGAATGAGAACTGGAATATTACTGTAGTTAGAATAAGATAGATCTTAATCAAGGTGTGCTAAGTACTGAACAAAATTGTAATAGAAATAACAAGAAACTAATTGAATGTAGATGCATTAATTAAAAATATGAAATAGAATTGAACAGATATAAATAATAAGTAAGAAAGTTGCTATTTCAAATCTTGGAAAGAAAAGTACACATTAAAAAGAAGCAAGATGCATGTAGGGTCAAATGCATTAAATGCATATAACCAAAGCAAGCTTGAGCTCATCAGGTTAGTAAGTATCAAGATTGCATTTCTTAAACATACCTCATCTTAATGGCTACATGCAACAATACATAGATCCGAACAAGCCCAGGACAATTTCAGTTTTTAGGTTGACTGAACGCATGTCTGACCTCTTTCTATCTTTAATTTCCACTTGAGCAACCGCAATGAATCTAAGTGACATAAGGTATACGTCAACAACGTTTACGGTATATAAAGTATAAGGTACATATATGTCAACTGTCTTCCCCCTTCCCACCCCATACCTCATTTGGGGGAAACAAGTCATTATTCTCCTTGAGAAATGGAAACATTGAATCAAGAAATTACTTATCTGTTCCATGGCAAAAATGCTGTAAATAACTTCGCTGCTATAACATCAAATAGCTAAGTTTCCTGATAGGAATGAATTTCTGCCATTGCATTTCTTATGGTATTTTGCCTCGTGGGATATTACTTCCAGGTCCCATTTCTAAGGGACATTAATTGTCCGGCTAAGATTATTTGGTTCTCTTCTGCCAGTCTTCTCCTCCTCTGATGTTACTTGCCATTCTATTTTTAATATAACTTCATTCACTAACTTTTTCTAAGCTAATGATACATGGAAGCATATTATAATAAAATTTTGCATATAAATAAATTAGCAGTATTATAGTTATTATTCCTATATTAGAGTAATTTCTTCAATTTGTTTGTGAATAAATCATTAAGTTAACTGATTTTGCCTCTTCAAGGGTAATGAAGTCTGCACAAAATTCTGCAAATCTGTTTGTCAACCATGAAGTTAAACTAAAATTCTGTTAGGAAATGTGATAAATCATAAAATACCTATTTATTTGTTATCCTGGAGTTGTCAGTACTTTTTTGTGTGCAGGGCAAGCAAGGTTTGGTTGCTGCAAAGAGCAAGGGTGCAAGCAAAGCAAATGGAGCAGCAAAAGCTACAACCACTGCTTCTTCTGAGCCTCAAGACTCCAGCCTCAGTTCAGACAAGAACAATGATACTCAGAAAAATACTGATTCCAAAGCTCATCAAAATGAGACACCCGTTGCATCTAGAGTTTGTGATAAGACAACCAAAAATAACTCGTGTGAACTCTCAGTGAAGGAAACGGACAAAACTGACACAGCCAATTCAAATAAACAGAGTTCATCTGAAGTGGTGACTGATGCTAAGCATTGTGATGAATCTGATTCTGATGATGATATTGTGAATTCTTCTTTAGTGAACGATGATGAAGAAGCCAAAATAAATAAACCTCAATCTTTTAAGTCTAATAAAAGTATTAAAAGTATTGGCCCTAAAATAAAAGGAAGAAGAAATGCTGATATTATAGAAAATGGCATTCACAAGCCCAAAAAACTTGATCACCAGGTGATTGAGAATAAAAAAAGAGACTCGTCGGTTGTCAGCCTTGACACTGACCAAGAAAAATCTGTGGTGGAGGACTGTGCCAGTGTCACGAGTGCCTTACCTGACATAGACTTGAATGATATTGACATACCATTAGCAACTAACTCTGAAGGCTCGTTACCACTAATGGACGCGAGTGAAGTAGTTCCTATTTCTGAATCACCATCCCTCTTGGAAGATGCGGGGAATGACACAGTAGACTTGGACACTACTGATGGCGACCCTGGTTTAACGCTAGCCATGGCAGCTATTGCCAGCAGTGGCTGTGATGAACCGAAGCCTGCTGCTGGTGGTGGCATTAGACTGCGAAATCTCAGCGATCTTCTTTGTACGCCTGAGAAAGAAAAAATTGCCAACGACTCTGGGCGGGACAGAGGAAAAGACATGGGAACACTTCTACTAGAAGCAGTTGACTTGCCCGAGAAAAAAGTACCGGGTCGAAGTACACTGATGACACTTTTTCGCACCAAAGGTAAAGAAGACTCTAACTCGAACAAGGAAAATTCTAATTCCAAAGCTACTTCAAAAGAAAGCAGCTTAGAAGTGTATGAAAAGAGTAAAAGTGTAGCAAAACCTGAAGATGAAGGCTCCAAAAAAATTTCAGCCAAAAAGAAGAATTTCAATTTCAGTGATTACACCGAGAAAAGCAAGGAGAAGGGACGTGACAATTATGACAAGGATAGTGACAGTGAGAAGGCTGAGTCTGAGGAGACCACCACCGTCTCAGACAGCGACGATGACGACGATGAAGAAGAAGAAGAAGATGATGAAGGTTCTGTTCCTGTAGATGACAAATCCGATGCAGAATCAGGTACAAACCTTCAATTTATTTGTAAATTTTACTTATTGTTCATGAGACATAATTACTCAACTTGATTTCTAAATATATCCTTTTGCACTTGTCTTGTGTGGTAGCCTTAAGTCACGTGAATATTTTATATTTTTGGTGATTCATGACTCTGATTTGTTGAGTTGTTTTAACTGCATAACTTGCACCTCAAGCAAGTTCTTTTAGTTATTTCTCCTATACAGTGTAGATTTCAGTTAATCCTATTTAGCCTACCGGTACCTATATACAAGTAATACTACGTTTTTTGGTATTTATTTGTATTAAAACTTTCAGGTAAAGCGTCCTCAGAGGCTGAGGATGACCTCATAGAAGCCAAATGTGATGACGGAGACGTTGAGTCGGCCAAGTGGGAGGCTGAAAACGCCGTCACGTACACCAAGAAGGAAGACAAACTTTTTGAGAGGCAGTCCAAAGGTAATAAACAATTGTCCAGTGAACTAAGAGAAAAACTACGTCTACATTTGACTCAATTCTGCGCGATATTCATGCACATACGGCATTACTGACAACTTAATATAGTATTATAGACCTGGAGAAGTTTAGACTCGTGTCTTTGCAATCCTGGTGCAACATCTCCGACTGCACGACAAAAAATGATCCCCTTGTCGAGCCAAATGCGCCCTAATTAAGAAGCAGTCATAGCTCAGCAACGACGTAGGGACAGAAATTGTATTCTACTCTTTGCCTGTCTCGTTATAGGACCCAACTTACAACTATACCCATTAGTCAGGCTGACCTAGTGACGACACTTTCGCGATAGTAGCGGCACTGATATTAGAGGAGCTAGCCTTGGGTTCGAGCCTTGCGAAGCTCAGTTCATTTATTGGTGAAGCTGGTGGGTGGTGCTTGGTTGCCGTCGATGGCTGGTACTCGCAGCACGGCCTCGGGTTGGTGTCTGTGAATGAACTCTGGGCATGTGTTACTTTGGGGTGATCTTAAGATAGCATGTTCACCATTTTGCAGATCTATGTAACTTTCCCAGCTTGTGCAAACCGAATTATCATTTCAAGCATGTGCATACACTTGCACATGTTTGGCATTTTCATAACACATTAACGTGCCCTGCACATGCAGACAGCAGTATCCCGTCCAGCTTTTTGAGACCACAATAACCTGCCTAACATTTGTAGAGCTGCTGGAAAAGATGCAAACCTGCCTACCGCGATGTACAGGCTGCAATGAACAAGTCAACCACAAGATGCCTGCCCTAGTCTTCACCCATCCCATCCTCGGAGTCCTTCTCTGCAAGGTATTCTTAATATCTTGAGCCGTTATGACATCTTTATAGTTTCCTACTGTACCTATATCTGTTTCTGCGCTGTTTGTGGATTTGTTTCTTTGTTTGAAGGGCTCTATATATACCAGTTATTAAATTTTAATTTGACCAGAATAGTAACTTGTATACAGTTTTTGGAGAACATTTTATGTATGAACCGTTTAGTTCAAAAGACATTCCTGTTGTGATTCTTGAACTTTACGTGGTCGTGTTTGCCTCCAGCGTTGCCGTAAATTTTACGGTAAGGGGACCTGGAAGAAAGACAAAGAAGGTCTGGATGAGTACTGCAGGTGGTGTGCCAACGGGGGCGACCTCATGCTGTGCGACTTCTGCACCAACGGCTTCTGCAAGCCTTGTTTGCGGCGCAACTTTGGGCGCTCGGCTATTAGGGACGTGGGGCGTAATAAGAAGTGGGAGTGCTATGTGTGTAACATGAAGCCCCTCACCGACCTCAGGCTGCAGCATCGAGCTGTCCTACTAAATCTTAGGAACTGCACTGAACAAGCGCTGGCGAAATCCAGGTACTTGGTGCCTGTTGAGTGTTGAATGTTGAATATATCTGCTTTGCTTCATATACTTCAGTATTGAGTTTTATTTAATTGCTTATTTTAAGAATGAAAGTAAAGATAAGTTTTGACTCGATATCTGACCTCATATTGGAGAGAGCACAGCAGTTCAATTGTTGCCGTGCATGCTTTGCTATGCTCATCTCAATCCTTCTTATCTGTTACAAGCTCATACGCATATATGGCCTTGAAACTCGTGAAATTCATGCTTATAACGCCATGGCTTGGCGCTGTGCCAAGTAATTACACTCTCAATGCCTTGAATTATGAAATTCCCATGATTGGGCCCGCTAGGGAAATATCTACTTTTTTATTTCTCTGAATTTTAATGAATAAGTCTCTTCATCACGTGATTTCTGGATTTTTTGGCAATAATTTGTGGGAAATTTTCATTTCTAACATCTGCATGAAATATTCTGGTAAAGTTTATCATATAATATTTTTGCTTATCTTCCAGAACGGAACGCGCAAAAACTAATTTAGACAACAAGTTTGCTGTACTGAAAGCAAAGCGAAGTGAGAAGAATCTTGCAACTCCTTCGACGGAAGAAAATAATGACAAAAGTTCCTCTTCAAAAGTCGAAACTTCTCATGAACCTGAGACTGTGAACGATCCAGCTAGTGCAGAAGCTACAGAAACCTCCTCAGAGGACTCTGCACCGTGGCTCAGCACCAGCCTCAAGGACCTGAAGGACATGCTTGACATGTGTTCCTCTCAGGTTGGTCGCGTGCAGACCAAGTGGCTTCAAGATGCCAAGTCCGCTTCAGATTCAACCAGACTCCAATGCTCCCGGAGGCTCCTCCGTCTAATGCGCGCCATGAGTGACAACTTCGTGGCTGTAGAGAACAAGTTTCTGGCCAATTGTGGCAAGGATAGGGACGAGCTTGTGCAGGTTCTGCTAGGCTTGGAGTCGGAGCAGCGCGATGTTGAAACCAAATATAAAGACGTTGAGGATACGGCCCAGAAACCGGTGCCTCAATCTGCTGATGCTGACATGCAGGAAGGCGATGAAGACCCTGGTCTTGGAAATGTATTGGATGACGATTCCCTTAGCACTAAGGAGAAACACTCAGAAGAGAAAATGGAAATTCTTGAAGATGTGCCTCCCAAAACTGAAACCTCTGATAAACGCTCGACAAAAGTGAAGACGCCTAAGAAGCCCGAAACTCGTCATAGTGATCCTTCTGAATCAGAGCCCGAGATACCCAAAAGGGTTCTCAGAAATCGTGTAGAGATATCCAAGAAAGTTGAAATCGTTGAGCAGAAAGAGCCCGAAAGGACTGTAAAACGAGTTAGTGGTAGACTTTTGAGGAGTCAACAGCCAACTCGGGTCACCACAAACGACGATGACGCCGGTAATGAGAGTGGCGTTGATCCCGTCAAAGCAAAAGACGAGGCTCAGAGCAGCGCCAAACCGTTCAGTAGGAGAACCCGACGAACAAAGGATGATGAGGAGGACGAGACAGTAAGCAAAGATTTGCCCGTCACCGATGAAACAGAGCGCCCTGAGTCTGCTGATGTTCCGCGTGACATCTCAAATACAGAAGAAATGGAAGATAATGAATCCGTAAGCAATGAGAAGGATGATCTATCAAAAGAAAGCGAGGATGATGACAACGAAAATACACTCGTGTTTGATAAAGACGGCATCTCTGATAAGGAAGTTGACAAGTTTGACGAGCTTCTGAACAATAAAAAACAGTCCAATGTATGTAAGGAAAGTGTCGACAAAGAAGATGTAATTGATACCAAGACAGTTGATAAATTAGCCAACTCTTCCATCGCAAAGAAAAAGGCTCTTGTCAAATCTGACAAGGATGGCGAATCGACTTCCAATGTAGAACCTGAACAGGAATCTGCTGAAGTGAAGTCTGACCAGGAAGATTCTGAAGCCGATGAACAGTTAAAGAAAACAAAGAACGATAACAAAAAGAACTCTTATGAACAGTTAAAGAAAACAAAGGAAGAGAACAAAAAGAACTCTGATGAACAGTTAAAGAAAACAAAGGAAGAAAACAAAAAGAACACTGATGAACAGTTAAAGAAAACAAAGGAAGAGAACAAAAGGAACTCTGATGTTGGCGCATCTTCTGAATCTGACACGGAAAAGCCTGGTCCGCGACGCAGCCACCGCTCTTGTGCCCTTGAGGAAAAAACATACACCGAGGCCTCTGTTAGCAAAAAACGCGAGCACAAGAAACGCTCTCAACCTTCAGACGATGAGAAGAAGGAGCCCGAGAAGAGCAAGAAACGCACACGTTCCTGTACCGAAGAAGACAAGAAGAACGAAGGTTCAAGTAAGAAACGTTCACGTCGCGGTAAGGACGAGAAAACGGATGAAGAGTGCGACGCCGACTCTGAAAGTGATCCAGATGATCAGCTGAAGAGTCGATCACCGCGCAAGAGTAAGAAAAAGAAAAGAGATATGAAGAGGAGCGAAGCATCTGCTAGTGAAGAGGAAGAGGAGCAAGAGCAAGATGAAGGAACTCGGCTTAGTCCGCGTGTGAGGAAAAGGAAGAAGTCCGGAGAAGAGGAGCGGAAGCGCAGCAGTAAGAAGAAGGGCAGTAAGAAAGACAAGTATGCTGACATGGATAGCGATGAGTATGAGAAGAAAAAGAAAGCCTATTTTAAAAGGGAGATGAAAAAGAAGGAAAATAAAGACTCTGATGAAGATAACAGTGACGGCAAAAGTGATGATGATGCAAAGGAAGGAGGCGCGGCTGACGATAATATTGACAATACAGATGATGTTCTAGAAAAAACCTTGCAGTTGTTCAGTAAGGATGAGGTCTGTGATAACGAAAACGACCAGGACGATATTCCCGAGGAAGATGAAGCTGTGAACAACAGAGAAATCGCGGCTGAAAGTGAGGAAGATTCCGACAATTCTAAGGCTAGTAATAAGCCAACAAAAGAGTCTGAGGCAGATTCTGTCTCGAAATCGAAGGCACCAGCAGTTGCTGAAGATGAAAGTTTGTCGCAGAAAGATGCTGGCGAAGAAAATTCTCAAGCCAACGGAGATGATAAAATAAAATCAAGTAGTGAGACCGATAATGAAAGTGAAAACCCACCACTGAACAATGACGTTGCCAAGGCTGCGTTGCTGGCTGATAGTGACAGCGATCCTGCAAGTTTAGTATCGAAGGATACTAATTCATCAACCAAAAAAAAGCCTAAAGATAAGAAGAAGAATACAGAAAACGAAGCTGCCAAGCAAGAACTTCTCGATAGCGACAGCGACGAGATAATGAAAGATATCATGACAGCAGTTACTGCTAAAAAGAGTGATAAAGCCAAGAAACCTTCAAAGGAACAAGATGAATCGTCTAAGCAAAGCAAGTCAAAGAATAAAAGTAAAGCTAAAGAATCTGTTGGAAAGGATAAGAAGTCAGGCAATGACTCTGACAGTTCGCCCAGCAAATCTAAGAATAAATCTGACAAGAAGGCAAAAACTGCCAACGAGGCTGCCCTTGCAGACTTACTCAAGAGTGACAGTGACTCTGAGGCGTCCCAGAAATCCAGCAAGGACAAAAAATCTCTCTTGGAAAAATTGACTGGGAAAGCAAAAATTGTTAAAAAACGTAAAGGTAAAGTGGGACCTAAGTGCAGCAAACCCAAGTCAGATGGAGGCCAGGAGAGTGACGGAGAGCTGGAGAGACTTCGTGGCAAGCGGCAATTGGAGGAGCAAAAACCCGTGGTGGAAGTGACTGCCCTGCACCCTGTGCTGCTGGAGACGCTCAAGAAGGAGGAGTCTGTGTCCGTGGAGGAGTGTGAGAAATACCTCAAAGATATCAGAGCCAAAAATGTTAGCAGTTCTAGTTCATCTTCCGATGATGATGATGACCGCAGGAAAAAGAAGAAAGTTGCTCGCAGCGATGAGGACTCTGATGCTGAATTCAAGTCACTCATGAAATTTCAACTCAAGAAAAAGTTTACTTCTAAGACTTCGACTGCAAGTGGAGATAATGACGAAGATGATGACAGTGAAGAAGAAGAGCTGAACAATGATAAAGATGAGGATAAAGAAAAAAGCGACAAAGACGACAAGAAAGATGGAGAAAGTAAGGAGGCAAAGAGTAAAGTGAATGGTAAGAAAGAAGGGTCTAAGAAATCTAAAGAAGGATTGCTGGACATCAGTTTGAATGAGGAGGCAGAAAATGAAGAGGAGGAGGAAGAAGAGAATGGAGAAGGAGAAAAGAAGACCAAGAAGGAGAGTAAGTCCGTTGGCGTGACGCTCAATGATAAGATAAAGAAAACTCTTCTAATGAGCAGTGATGAGGAGGGAGCGGGTGGCAGCAATAGCAGCGAAGACGCTGCTACCAAACGCGACCGCGAGTTGATTGAGGAAGAAAAGAAGAAGAAATATGAGAAAATGAAAGCAAAACAAAAGGAGAAAGAGCTCAAGGAGCAGGAAGCTGAAGAGAATGATGCCACAGAAAATGAGAATAATAAGGAGGCAGACGATGAAGCTGAGAATGACAAGGTGAAGAAACCTGTCGGCAAGAAAGGTTACATGTCATTGAAATTTTCCTCTGATGAAGATGAAGACGCTGAAAAAAGTGACGATAAGGAAGCTGATAAGAAGAATATTAATGACGATTCCGAAGACTCTGACGACTCTGAGATGGAATCGCCTCGTAAATCTCGAATGTTCATTGACAGTGACTCTGACTTTGAAATTTTTGAGCCATCAAGCAGGAAGCGGAAAGCCAAAGATCCATCATCAGAGTCGGAGGATCTATCCTCTGACAACAAGAAGAAGAAGAGGAAGCGTCTCAAGAAGACCATGTCATCTTCGTCTGAAGAAGACGGCGCTCAGGACGGTGACAAGAACGCTGACGAAGAAACACCCAGCAAGCGCAAGGTGCGGCGCATCATCAAAGACGCCGACCTCACCGAGAGCACGAAGAACGCCACGCAGCAAGAGGAGGATCGACGTAGCAGAATAAAGGAACGTCAGCAACTCTACAACAAGATATTTGAAATCAACGTCGAGGCTGACCAGGGTGACGTCACCAAACTTGTGCTCGACTTCGATCCTGAGACCAAAGAAGAGCTTGTCTCTGTCAACTCTAAGCTCGTGCCCTTGCTCAAACCCCATCAGGTTTGTTTAAGTTTCCAATTAAATTTAAAATTAACTTCTCCAATGATTTATTAATTTTGTTTTCAATTAATTGTAAAATTTCTCTCATTCATGTCTTTGGATGGATGTGGTCGGAGGCCCTGTGGGTTGACGCAATAAGTTTAGATTATTATGGTATCTCTATCAAGCTAAATACTGAACTTTGCTGTAGTAATTTCTTCAATATGCTATATTTAAAATTTCATCTATATAATATATAATCACTAATAAAGGATTTCGTAAAATAATAAGGGCGCCACAATAATGAGCTCTCGTGTCAAAAATCATGTTATTGGCTTGTTGAAGCTCTTGTGGTTGACTATTCGATCAAAGTTTATCATCCAAATACGAAAGACGTTACCACCTGTTGGCGGGGTGAACATTTAATTTCATTCATGTAATATTTTATCGCATTTAGTTGAATTATTTTCAAATATAACGTAAGTTATGTTGGCGTGCAGGTGAAGGGCATCAAGTTCATGTGGGAGGCGACGTGTGAGAGCCTCGAGCGCTGCGAGAAGGAGGCTGGCAGCGGGGCTATCCTGGCGCACTGTATGGGGCTCGGCAAGACCTTGCAGGTCACTGGTGCTCTCGTGATTAGCCATCTTTTCTTTACTTAGTTTTCAATGCAATGTTTACCAAGTCCATGTTTTATTGGTATTTGAGATGTTACCTCAAATTACTGTAGCAAATCTTTGAATGCAATAGCTGGAGACATCACTCGTAATGATGTGAGCTCAGGGACAATCTCATTCTTCTTTAATCTTTCTTTAATGATCTATAAAGTCAATTTGGCTGTTAAGGATGTTGCAAGATATCAAACAGAACTAAATTGCTGGTGTCCCGCGTACTTGCCTTCTTTCATTAGTTCATATTCGACAATTGTTCTCTGGTGGACTTGGTGTGAAACATAGGAAAGTAATCAACTTTAGTTATTGTGTTCTGGTGATGGTGGAGCCAATGTTAAACATATGCAAGGTAGTTAACATTGACGTACTGTGTTGCAGGTCATCGTATTCCTGCACACGTTGCTGACATGCAAAGCTCTGCACAAGCATATGCGTCGAGTGCTCGTGCTGTGTCCAGTAAACACCGTGTACAATTGGGTCTCCGAGTTCAAGAAGTGGCTTAAAGGGAAGCTCTTGCCATTCGACGTCATCGAGTTGATCTCAGCCAAAGATTTGTGGAACAGAGCTTACCGCCTCGACGAGTGGCACAAAGAGTCTGGAGTTTGTATCATGGGCTACGACATGTTCAGGACTTTGTCCAATGAGAAGAACAAGAAATACAAGGGCAAGATGAAGGAGATATTTCAAAAGACCTTGGTTAACCCAGGACCTGATTTTGTCATATGTGACGAAGGACATATTCTGAAGAATGAGAAGAGCGCCATTTCTGTGGCCGTCAATAAAATGTCTACCATGAGACGCGTGGTACTAACAGGCACACCCCTGCAGAACAACCTGAAGGAGTACCACTGCATGATACAGTTCGTGAAGCCCAACCTGCTGGGCACCCGCAAGGAGTTCCTCAACAGATTCGTGAACCCCATCAATGCCGGGAGCTGTGCGGACGCGACCCCTCGTGATGTGAAAAGGATGAAGAGGAGGGCGCACATCCTCCATAACCTGCTCGAGGGCTGCGTTCAGGTGTGTGCTTTATAAAATATTCACATACTTGTGAGTTCACGATAGAAATATTCAACGTAAAGGCTAATGAAATGCAGGTAAATGCCATCCATAATTTTGAGAACTGCCACCAGATGCATGCTAATCAAAAGAAGATAGTAAAATACTGTGAATAAATTAATGAATAAATATATTTCTTACAATAATCCAAATAAAAAGAATGCAAACTATGAATTGGTGCGAGGATGGGTGTGTAGCATCCCTCATAATCGAATATGAATTTCATTCATTTCTATAGGCAGTATTTAATTGTGAATGACACATCTCTCAATTCATGCCGATCAATACTAGGGGTCAAGTGAGTGAGAGTTCTAATTATTAATTTTCAGATTTCTCTATACATATACCGGTACTTGCTTAGTTAATTAAATACACTCTAGATTACTTATTAATGTTGTGTGCAGCGGTTCGACTATACGGTGCTGAAGCCTTTCTTACCGCCCAAAATGGAGTACGTAATCTCAGTACAGATGTCAGATCTGCAGTGCGAGCTTTATTCTTACTACCTGGCAAACCTGGCACAAGGCGGCCCCAAGAGGGTGGGCTCAGGACTTTTTGTGGACTTTAACAACCTGAGTCGCGTGTGGACGCATCCTATGGTGCTGGCACTGCAAGCCAGACGCGCCATGTTTGATGAAGATGAGGAGGAGCTTGACGACTTCATTTGTGATGAAACAACTTCAGAATCTTCTGATGATGACAACCCCAGGAAGAAGAAGAAGAAGAAAAATGTCAAAGAGTCCGAGGAGGAGGCAGTTAGTAGGCCTGATAGTCCTGGTGATGGTGAGTTTTGGGAATATTTCTTCTTATACCTTTTGTTCTTAGAGCGCTGTTTAATTTTAGCTTGCTGCTATTTAGGAGTAAAATGTTCGAGAATCATAAATACAGGTGTGTATTTTTGTCTCAATAATAAAGTTATTAATTAGTACCAATTCGCCTCTTTTTATATCGTTGTGAATATTGCAACATACTTTCCCTAAGTATCCATGCACATAGAGTGATTCTATTTGCATGTTTTATTATCTTACGGAACTGTTTCTTTAATTATAATTATTGCCCACGCTTATATCTTATTGGTCACTATTATTTATTGAATGTTGACTTAATGAGTTTCTCAACAGATTAAATTTGATTAAAAGAATTAATTAATCAAATTAAAACATGTCACAGATTTACCCGACGGTCTCACCCAGACGGGCAAAGTGCGGCCGGACTGGTGGAAGAAGATCGTGGCAGTGTCAGTTGACTCTAACATCGGAGAAGATGAGTGGATGAACCGCATCGAATTGAGCGGTAAACTCGTGCTACTGTTGAACATCATGCGTGAGTGCAGCAGCATCGGCGACAAGGTTCTTGTGTTCAGCCAGAGCATCCTGGCGCTGGACATGATAGAGGAGTTCTTGGCCTTGATAGACCAAGGGCTTCTCGAGATGCCATCGTATGAAGACGCCATGCCGCTACAGTTTAAGCACTGGAAGAGGGAGAAAGATTACCTCAGACTCGATGGCAGCGTGTCTGCTGACATCAGGAAAGCCCAGTGCAAGTTCTTCAATGAAAAGGATAATGACAGGTACTGTATGGTTATACCAGGCTTTAAATTTCGACAATGAAAGATTACGGAAAGTTCGTCAATTAAAACATTACCGACCATCCCAAAAAATTATCGCCAAGAAAGAAATGAACACAAAACTATGGCCTGATGTTTCTTAAAATTCTGATATTTTTTTCTGGACACGTGCACTTTGCACGTGTGCATAAATAGTTTGCATTGTAGATGAAATGAGATTAATTGACTATATAGTCGCGGTGTCTTGGGTAGAATTATCTTTCTCATTATGTCTTCATCTTAAGCGCTAATGGCTTGTAATGGATAGTACAATGAACTGCAATTCCTGTGTAAAAAATTGACCCTTTTAAATACATTTGACTCTGCTTTGTGTATAATCTTTTCTTCTGCACAAAAGACTGACCTATAACCGCCTGTGTTTATGCACTGGTTCTTCTCTGAATAAATAACCTTGACAATTTCTCAGGTGCCGACTCTTCCTTATCTCCACTCGGGCTGGTGGCATCGGCATCAACCTCGTGGCCGCCAACAGAGTCATTATTTTCGACTCGTCGTGGAATCCTGCCCACGACACGCAGTCCATTTTCAGGGTCTATCGCTTTGGCCAGACCAAGCCCAGCTACATTTACAGATTTGTTGCTCAGGTAACACTTTTGTTATGTTTTGCATTGTGTTATTTGCCTGCAGTATCTCGGTAAACGCCACATAAACAATAATATTGGTATTGATTAGCAGCATTTGTTGTTTTTTTAGCTTTCTGCATTATTTTTGCTTCAAGGTAGACATGAAAGTAGGCGCCTCTTATATGTCAGACCTCAATTTCGTTTCCCTAACAAATTCTATTTTGCTTACATCAACTATCCAGATGTGCTGTGAATTTTCGGTTCATTTTTCGGTTGTTTCAATATTTTTCATAATTCCATATGAGAAATTGAGTCATAAAGGATTTTTAGCGCATTTTCTCATTTATGGAAAAAATGCCTTATTGTGCTCGTCATGTCCGTCGGTCCGTCCGTTCGTCCGTCTGTCCGAGAAGTCACGCTTTCGTCAATTTCGGGAAAGTGCGCTCTCTGTCACTCACTGCAGTGAGTACTGAGTTATATCTTTTTTCATTGCCAGGGCACTATGGAAGAGAAGATCTACTCGCGGCAGGTAAACAAAATCTCGACGTCTCTGCGGGTGGTGGACGAGCATCAGATCAAGCGCTACTTCAACACCACCGACCTCGCCGACCTCTACGAGTTCAACCCCGCAGATGTGGAGTCCCGCGACACACCCATCGTTCCAGAGGTCTTTGTCTTCTTCCTTAGTGTCTTAATGCTCGGATTCCTTACTATGTGTTCCCTACGTAGCAGTCCCAGGCCACGCAACATTGAAGTTCATTTCGCTCACTTGAAACTATCCGGCTTAGATGGGAAGCTATGCTTATGCATTAGGGCCATAGTAAGCAGCACAGTGAACATTTTTGTTAGCTTAACTCGTACTGCAAAGTAATTTTTATAGTTATTCTCTGCTTCTCATTTAATATTCATTTTTTGTGGTGTGTTCTTAATATTGATTATTCAAATAAATTTCTCTTAACTGATTTATTTAAAATATTTTTGAATGGGTCTTCGCTATTGCATCATTAAAGTTATTTATTGGCAGTTCATATTTTGATATTTTCAGCATTGGCAGCATACCAGTTGATACTGGTGCTAATATTATCACCCATTGTATTTACTGCTGTTCTTATGTCTGTTATTCACGTTCTTGCAGGATCGATTACTGGCCGAGCTGATCATCCGGCATAAGAACTGGATTGTGGGCTACCACGAGCACGACTCGCTCCTCGAGAACCAAACTAATGAGGAACTCAGCGAGGAGGAGCGCAAGGCTGCATGGGAGGACTTTGAGAACGAGAAGAAGGGGCTGGGTACGACGCAGAGACCTATCACCAATTATCCATCAATATTGAATACATCTGTTGTGTCTATGCTACTCGTATCTATAGGCTTAATAATTAAGTTAGTGTCAGAAAATGAAGGATTTATATCTTTCCATTCTCGAAGGATTTATATCCATAATCTCCAGATATATTAGTTATCTTCAATGTTACTCTCACCTCAAGGCTTGGTTATCTTCAGTTGTAAAAGGGTTCATGTAACAAGTAGAAGTATGCAAATTGTAATCTATTGTTATTATGATTTTGTGAAGCGCTAGAATACTACTACTACTCTCATTATCATGATGAATGTATTCTGTCTTTGCAGTACCGCAAATGGGCAACCGCGCAGTCATGAATTATGGCAACAGCAACATGCCCTTCCCTGCCTCCGTCCCGCCCTTCGATATCAACCAGGTCATCCAAACCATCTTCACCCAGGTATTGTAAAGCGATTACTCCTCAATATTGTAATGTATCATCTACCAGCGTACCGTCTACTCCTAGGCATTGCATTAAGTGTTATAGGGCTATCATGATCTGCTAAGGACTAAAAACACAGAAACAGAACCTAGATGTACCTAGATACAGTACCTAGATACAATACCTAGATGTACCTAGATACCTCCAGTCTCGGGTGTAGCTTGTTAGAAATTATGTAGGATTTCGTTTTCCTAGTACCGTAGTTTCTGAGGCTCTGAATAAGCTCGTGGTCTTTGTCTGCGGTCCTCTGTTGTGGGGCTAAGTTGTTATATTATTACGTGTCGACTGAAAAAATAGTTTAATTTTACCCACTCTCGTGTGGTGCGGCCGACGTCCCGTGCGAAAGACCTCTTGTACGAGTATCGTCGTTTCTCTTGCTGTTCTATTGTTATATACTTGTTTGTGATGAATAATTGCTTATAAATATTTTATATAACTAATGTAATTATATATATACTATATATATTATATGTAAATAAAATAAGCCACTAATAAATAGATATAATTATGTAATACTATTAATGTAATAATTGTATGTAATTATGCCTCATAGCTGCTGCGTTGTTAGACACCATGTGCTCATTATTCTACTAAATATTGCATGCCTCTTCACGTTCGTTTGTTTGTTTGTTTCCCTTGAACAATTTTTAAAATTTCACGATGAGTTCAATGTAACTAATTAGATTATTTATCTTTATTACCTACCAGAACCCGAACCTGACGCAGACCCAACTCCAAGAGAACGTCATAATGGCCACCAGACAAATACAAAAAATACACCTGAACCACTACCAGCGCATTAGAACTTATGTATATAACGTGAGTAAAACCTTACTTTTTATTATAGAACTATGAACCCAGTTATGTTCTTCATAATTGCGATGTTTCTTCCTTACAGCCGCATTTTTCATGACTCCTAATACCTCATAAACCTACCTCTGCTGTGTGCGGCAAATTTTGTGTTTATAAACTCTGTGCTACGCTAGGTAGTGCGACGCCGTCAAATGCTTCTAATATGCCGGGAATAGAACCGGGGCTTACTGGACCAAACTATGCCTAATTGAATTATTTAGTGCGAACAGTTTGGGTGCCATAGAGATGTCTATAACACCATGAAATTATGTAAACAACTTTGATCTATAACATTATGACATTTCACAGCTGAAGAACCCACTGCTTGGCCCGGAGGTACGAGCTCAACTGCCGTACGGGGATCAGGTGAACTTGTTACCGATGCTGGAGGCGCAGCTTGCGGTGCTCGAGGACAACATCACCAAAGAAAATCTCGTCATCAACAAGATGCAGCCAACCGTTGCGCCTTCATCATCTCAGCTCGTTAGTCTTCATTGGCCCTCCCAGAAATTTGTTTATTGTACTCCCAACCTAAAAACTGGGTTGAAGTTACTGTTGATTTAACCCTTGCTCGTTGTTCATCATTTTATTGATAATTTTTACTGTGAAGTGAAATGTTCATTTTTATGCCTAACTTTTTCATTGATTGTGCTTTCCTACTCGTCCTTTCATCCTATAAAATGTCAAAACATCTAAATATTGAACCTTGTTTTTTGTGTTCACATTTCTCCCAGTTTTCTACGTAACTTCAATTATAGTTCATCCTAAAACCTCAATCGGTTAGAAAACCTTTAACCTATCATATGTTTAACTTTCCTAACAACCTTCCTTCCTTAACCTTAATAACAACCTTGAATGTTAATTTAGTGCTAAATGTGAGTTCGGGAGGGTTAATTACGCTACTTTATCTTATAAGTATTTAGCAAGATTGGGGATGGTGCGATTTGGAATTCTCAATTTACAAAGATTTCTATGCCTGGCAACACCGCTCTAGCCTGCCAATGTTAATGCAGATGGCGGCGGGTGTGGCGTATGGGGCGCCAGCGCTGACGGGGGGCAGCCGGACCGAGCAGTTCATTGACCGCAGTAAAGTCATCCAGGCGAACATGATACAGAGGTGAGGTGCATCATAACTTGCATCAGGTGCATCATAACTTTAATCAGGTGCATCATAACTTGCGTCACTGATGCGTACTTGTACTGGACTGTTGAGGTGAGGCGAACATAATATACAGGTGAGGTGCATCATAATTTGCATCACCCTCCTCCCACTCCTCAAGTCGTCTCACCATTAAGTCACTCTCAGCCCTCATTTTGGATGGCCATATTCTCAATGATAACATCCAGACAAACGATATTATCATAACCACCCCACTCTCTGCCCCCCTCCCCCCTTCACTTCTCAAGTCGTCTCACCACCAAGTCACTCCCACCCCCATTTTTGGATGGTGATGTTCTGAATGATAACCTCTTTAATAACGATATTGTCATAACCACCCCGCAGGTCCTCCTCAATGGTCACGCCCGCCAGTGTGGGGCGCATGGACGGCGCAGGCGCGTCCACCAGCGCCGCCAACGCCGCGTCCTCCACCTCGCAGATGATCAGGGCGCAGCAACTCGCGCGCAAGGCGCAGAAAATGCAAAAGCCAAAAGTATAATCACACTTTAATTGATATAATATAGAAGTCATCCCTAAAAATTATTGCTAATTGAATTAAATTTGAATATGATCATGTTGATAATGACGGCGACAAGGTGGTAGGATTTTTTCACAAATAATGCAGATGTTCAGAAATGCGAGTTGTGATATCAACAAATAACTTACTTAATGATGGCAACTTGCTCAACTTTTAATGCCTTAAGTTACACACGTATTCGTATTTCTGTGCGCCCATCAATCTATTTAAAATGAATTTTTATGAATAAACTAATGTTTGCTTTATCTCTGGCCCAACTAATGTCATCTCTCCCCTACAGAAACCTGGCAGCGCTGAAGTCGTAACTCTTGAATAAGCACATTTCTTCTATCCTCAAATGCGGCTCTTTTGAAACTTTTCTTCCCTTGAGATTGTTTGCCAAGGATTATCGGAACCTGGCCTCGACCCAAGAACTGCAGTCATGCCAGCCCGTTTCTCGCTGTATTACCGAGTCATGATTACGATGGTCGCAAGTTTGTTGCTAATCTTAAGTTGTGAAATAATCGTTGATTCAGATCCCAGAAATTAAAATTTAGAGTTCCATCGAAGTGGAGCAATGGAGTAATGGTCTCACCATTATTTTTAAGTTTGTATGTACCAGCCTAAAGGTACGATAATCGATGATTAACTAGCCAATATTTGAAAATTCTACTACTAAAATATTTACTAAATATATATTTAGTAAATATTTACTAAAATATTTAGATGTCTAATCGACATTTGATCTTCATCAGACAAAAGAACATTGACGTCGTTCCGTAAACCGGCTACTTCCTCAATAATCGGTGTTCATTTCTTTCAAGGGTATGAATCTCTTCTACATTCTAAGGAAATTATTTTCTGTATGAACCCTGTCGTTTTTTGGTATACTAACTTCTAGCGCTCGCCCCAAACAACGTTTCCATTTCGATGTGATCTTTTGGTTGTGGTGTCGTCATTGTTAGTGGTGAAACATTGTGTTGGGGCGTAGGCAGTACATTGACCTTGTATCACCAAAAATACATGATTTGATCTTTGATTCATGTTGGACCTCTCCGGCAGTCCGGTCCGGACCTAGTGCAGTCAGATGTTGTACGTCTCCGGTCTTATTTTGTGCAGCCAAAGTTGCGGGCGCTATACGAGTATACATACGTCAGTGTTAGATAGAAGTCACTACTTTATGATGGAACTTACTTATTATACGTAGAAAGCAAGAGAATTGCGTTTATTGCTTATTTAGTTTGATGTCGTTAGACATTTTTTCAGTTAACGTCTTTCTTATATTGACTATGTAAATAATTGGACCTTCTAAATGCTGGCGAGTTATAGCACCTCTTCTCTCGTTGGTCATTGAGGTCAACTTCTATTGCGTTTTGTTTGGGCTGAACCCTCTGCCATACTGGATTACTCTGGGCAAGAGACGTCCAAGTAGAACTGAATGCGTAGAAAATGTATACTCCTAAGTGTCATTAGTTCTGTGATGGAAGATACGGAGTTACTTCAAGTCTTCTACTAACGATCGGAAGATACTCAAAATTCTGCTCTCCGAGATATGTGGTGCCTCCATGAACATGAATGTTGAAGGATCTGTACCCTCTAACTTTTTGGTATGCCTGTATCATAATCTGAAACGGTAGGTATGTCTATTTAAACATTCATTATTTATTATGCCTTATTTATAAGTTCCACGAATCTGACCCGACTATGTTGCGCTACTCAAGGTCCATTATGCATGTGCATAGCTTGGACGATGTTAGGCTGACTTTTTTCTATGAATCTGCTTTGTATTTGTTTTGCTTGTTTGAATATATGTTCAACCTCAGTGGGAGATCGTTTCTGTTGTAACGTGAGGAGGAGATTAGGAAAACCCAGTTGGTTAAACATCTTAGAGTGCTCCTCTGACCGTACTGTCCATGACTTGAAATTCCTATTTCTGCTTTTGTCCATTTAATCATCAATATTTTTAGTCTAGTATAAATGTAACTCAACTCTAATTGAATATTGTTTCCTATTTTAAATTTAACAACAGATAAAATTATAAATGAAAGGCCAGTGCTCGTATGCATCATTAGTTGGCTTCGTTCTTTGTACTGCACGCTGTCATCATACTTCCAAAAGTGTGTCGTTGGTTAGCTTCCCGCCTGTTTTTGACAGCTGTTAGTTAACTATAGCTTCTCCAAAGTGAGTAATCATAAGTTAAATAAGAGTAGGGTCTCCTAAGAAAACCTAATTTTCCTCTGGATAATCTTTTTTCACAATGAAGAATCTATATAACTTTTCAACAGTTTCACGAGAACCCGACCATACTGCGATGTATCGGCAGTCAGTGGCATTGATGGCTTCATGTATGCGCTATTTTATGCCTTGCCATCTGGAAAGCATTTCTCGTATATATTCTATATTTTCTTGGGTATATGGCAGTCGTATGTGCTAAATATTTTTTTTTGCCACTACTCGCTAATTAGGTGTCGAAATTTACATATAGTATGTTCATTTTTGATAGCGGCTCAACAGGATTGAATAGAATTGGCCTTGCCAAAAATTCGCTATAATCCGCTTGTTGAAATTACTTGAATATATAAGATATGTATTATGTCAGACGTATTTAATACATCGTTTATAAGATATTTCTTCGTTGCTAATTCATGTGTATTCTGCGTACTTGAATATTTTGCTGGTACTAAAATAATGGAGTGATTATCATTGGACTTAACTGTGTAGGTGAATAATATAGTTTGGTTAATGATCGATGATAAAAAAACTTCATGCTAATTGTGAAACTTATGTACATACTTTCCATGGAATTCCATCGATGTTTAGCTGTACTTCAAGTATAAATAATGTACGTTCTGTACCACGTGACGTGTCTACGTGACATGTCCACGTGAATCTGTACTAGTAAACGTATTCTCTCTTGTGTGATTCTCTATTTATCCTTGCTCTGCGCCTCCTTCAACCAGATATAGCCATGATAATTTAATGTTTCAGTTCCCCATCGCAAATTGCGTTATATTCACAAATTGCGTAATATTCGCAAATTGCGTAATATTCGCAAATTGCGTAATATTCGCAAATTGCGTATTATTGGGGTTGAGATTGCTGATCGATTTAGAGTCATAACAATTCACAGTTTATCAGGCTTCATGTGTGACAGTGTGGGTATACCTTAACCCCGTCACTGTCTTTTCCCTGAACTCACTTTGGCTTTTTATTATTACTTCAATTGTACATAATTACTAGTCTACAATTAATAATAGAGGCCCGGTATTCTGTTAATAGTTAGCAAAAATCGTTTGTAGCATGATCAATTTTTTCTTTCCAGTTACATACTGTACTCTAATGAGAGTCCTAACAATAATGCTGAACAATGTAAATTTGATACCAAAATCCCATACTATATAGTATGAACTGGTCGTTTGCACTATTTGTTTTCTCATAACATTATTCAAACGCCAAAAATTAGGCCAAACTTGGCTTATTCTTCAATGCCTACGGTACTCCAATTTACTACCATATAGCATAGTCTGCATAGATGATGCCATCAAAAGCTTTCTATAATTGACGTGATCATGCCTATCGATTAATGTTTATGCCAGACGATTGCTGCCAACTTGACAGTTGACACGCTTGTGAGTGACCTTGGGAAACGTTATCGTTGCGTAGCAGCAGCGCGAAATTCGACACTATCAACAAATGATGAGTCGTCAACAAGTGACCGTGAAACTCGTGCTGGCATGCATTGGTCTTGTTGCTGTTGGACTAGTGTTTGTTTCACTAAAAAGCTCATCTCCTGAATCAAGTTCTACTTCTAGGTTTGCTGCTCTGAAAGTAAACAAAGTAAGTACCTAGTGCCAGAATCTTGGTTTACTCCCACTAGTCAGTAGTCACTAACCATAAATCAAGCAATTTGATCAAGATCCTGTAAGTCTATCTATTTTATAACTGTAAAATTTCTATTTGAGTGGTTTTCCTAAATCCTAACAGTCGAAAACCACACTAGGTAACTCAGGAAAACCAATTCACATTTCACAGCTTAGGAATCCTAAGCTATGAATTCAATACTTGATAATGATTGATTGAGCAAGCAATTTATTTTTTTGTGCAAGAAATTTATTTTTCACAGAATCACAATGAATATTAATTTGCCTGTTAGCCTATTAACAGTTAGGATAGCACTATACTCTATAGCAGCAGGCAAAATGGCAAATTAATATTCACTTTTATTCACACTCACAGTCTCACAGGACTGTATACCTAAGCTTAATAAGGTGGAAAATTATCCAGAAATGACCCATTAAGAAGGCAGTTTTTTTACCTTCGGCTTCAAGCAATAAACTATAGTTTTTATCTGAAATTTTGTATAATTCTGCCTTATATTTCTGATTACTCATTAACTCCTATAAGGCGAGATCATCGAAAAATGTGTCAAATTTGACAGTTGACCTTGCTCTACCAAATAGTGAATAACTGTTTGTATAGGAAGAATATTAGGGTTTGAGACTTTTAAATACATCTGTGAATATATTAGGAATCCTTTAAGTATAATTGTATTTGCTGATTTCAAGTGGTAAATAAATTAATAGATGATTAAGTTGAGAAATGGATTTAGACTCATGAAAACTAATTCCGTCACAACTTGAATTGGACACACACAGATCGTTCCAAGCTATGTACATAAATTAAAATTTTCTTATTTAAAAGCTTAATAGTTGTTAATTAAAAGCGTAATTAAGTAGTGTTCAATATTCATTAGTGTTCTAATTCAAAGCCTTGTTGTATTCCAATACAGCTCACACAGCAAACGGAATTCGAACACGTGGATGATGGCATTACGTATCAGTAGAATTTGAAGCGCGGACGGAATACGCCTTACCACGTGCCGAATATTGACACACACAGTGTCGGAATATAGGGATTTGGTAGGTTTGCATTCTAAAGGCTTTTAAATAAATATGGCAACATTTTGTGACGTTTCATCGTTGCTGGCACGTACGTTGTTTTGCAAGTCACATAAAGCAAACAGAACTCGAATAACGCATACGGTTTTTTTTATAGTTTTTCATTTCTCAATGGGTCCTTAATGTGTCGTAATATACCGCATTTACCCTACCGTAAAATGGTGTAGCTTAGACCACTTTTCGTTTTTTAACAAAAACCCCCACAACTCAAAAACTATTTGACATTGAAAAATTTTGTCAATGGGCATTAAAGGCCTAATACTGAGGCTACATAACACAATAGAAAGATTTAAAAAATTTGCATATCTAATAGGTTAAAAAATTAAAAATGTGACCAAAAAAAGCTATTATTTAAAGCCTGTCAGAGTACCCCCTCCAATTTTTTTATTTTTTGTTAAATAACTCCAGGTTTTGATGCATTGTAGTAGAACTCTTCCAGTTACATATGCAAATGACAAATTTTAAGAAAGTGTTATAGTTTGCAAATGGGGGGCGCCGTCCCCAAATGGGGTAGGTAACTTAGACCACCTAATGTCAGCCCTGACGGGGTAACATAGACCGGCTTGGAAGTTAATATAAAATTACCATATATAACATATTTTATGTTTGACAGCCTATTTATGTTTTTTCTTTATGTTTCAGACTCTACAGAGTCTTATATATGGTAATTTTAACTTAATTTCCAAGCCAGTCAACATTACCCCATCAGGGCTGCCATTAGGTAGTCACATTTCCCTCATTATGGGGCAGCGCCCCCCATTTGCAAACTATGACACTTTCCTCAAGTTTGTCATTTGCATATGTAACTAGAAGAGTTCTACTACAATGCACCAAAACCTGGAGTTATTTTACCAAAAATATAATTGATTTTACCACCCGGTCTAAGTTACCCCAAGAGCTGGGGTAACAAAGACCATCACTTTTTTTGAAATTACATAAAGATTATGAGAGGCAGAAGCCAGCAATTTATGGTGAGTGAAGCTAAAGTATAGACCTGTATTTTGCATGTTTCAATTCAAGTTTAATTTAGCTAGTAAAAAAATGGCATCATTTATAAAAAAAAAGTTGTCTAAGTTACCCCATTTTACGGTATGCTAATTCAGTCAATCACATTTTTAAGCCAACACCTGTGTCTGTGTGCAACTTTTATGTAAGTAAAATTTTTTAATATGGTGAATATTTTTTTGCTACAGATCTTAGCATAGGTACTTTTCCAAAATCTCAGTTTTCATAATTTTTTTCAGAGATTTTTTAGAGGTAGTAATGTATAATTTCTTAACTTGCTTTATGCCACATAGATAGGGAAAATGTTGAACTATTTTCATTTTTAGTTTTGCACTATTTTTAGTTTTGCAATATTTTGATTAGTTTAGCTGCTACAACATTTCTACAAAATGTCGGAGGACTGTCCCTTATTACCCCACCCGTCCCTTATTACTCTGTTTGATGGTAATAATACTAGTAGGAGATTATGTTAGGACTTGGGAGTATGAACTATAAACTTCAAAGATTCTTTTGTAATGGTACAAAACAGGATTTATATAAATCTGATAGGGGTTTCTGACTGATAGGTGTCCAAGTAGAATTGTTAAACTTTTGCAATTTGAGTAATTTATTTACATTGTGTACGTAATTTAATTATATCTTAGTTTAGTAAAAAATCATCCTTTTATTGCCCTACCCATTGGTAGGCATTGAATATATCTACTTGCTGAGCCACGATTGGATTTTTGACCCATGGTTTTATGGATTTGCCAGCCGCAATTCCATTTCTCACCCAAGAAAAGCCATTTACATGCCTCAAACTTATTTACTAAGTCCGGTGTACATGTTACCCCAAATCTCTAATTTTTCCCTAGAAAAGGCAACAGTAATATTTGTCTACTTTAGCAGCAACTGAACATGTGATAATGCAGTCTGACCGCTCTGACGTGAAAGCAAATATGCAATCTTCAACAAAATGTTTTGGGTTGACTCGTTACATTATGATCTGCAGGATATATTGGTGGGAGCATTGAAGTACTGCGGATTGAAGAAATGTAAAATTTTATGAAATGACATGTTTGCAAAGTGCAACCCATGATTACTTAAATCAAACAAAAATACATAATGTTAGACCCACAAGATTTCATACTTGCTGAAATTATATTATATTAGAGCCACGATATTTCATAAAAAAGTAGGACTTTTCTCCACCTGCCCATTGGTCATCAAGTCCAAACCAGAAAATTACATCTCTCTGTTCACCATACTGTATATAAGGTATCTGTTCTGTTTTAGCTGCTTCCACCTTCCATAAAGGCATAGACAACATGCAATGCACAGCTTGCACGAGCATGCTGCAGTTGCCTCCTTGTCTAATGCAGAGATGCAAGTGGCTTCTTTTTCTTTTCCAATTTTTAGTTAAAATTTATCTTTACTGTTAGAATTTATAATACTACAGACAAATCTAGAGTGAAACATTGTTACTTGGAAAATGGAAGATCATCCATTAATACAGACAGAGAAGGACTCACTACTGCATGGTGCAATTCTACAAAGGGCAGTACTCATCCGTTTTGGCAATGGCTGGGGAGATTCCGGCAGTGATTTGCTGTTTTGCAAGAGGCCTTATCCCAGCCTGGCCACTATTCCATCATGGCACCACATGACTTTAATTCTTTCTTATTTATGCCTATAGAAAAACAACGGACACAGATCATGTTTTACAAAGTAAATTTAGCAAATAAATAATTGTGCAGTAAAATATCTTCCTTACTTCCATAGATTCCAAATGCCTGCAAGGCTGCAAAGGCCATTGGTGATAACAACAAGTAGAGTTAGTTGCGTGCTATCATATCTGGGAAAGAATCACACAGCACACCACTGCAGCAAGAGATCTTTTGACTCTGATAGAACAGGAAGAGGTGAAGCGCAGTAGCCAAAGTCAGGGCCTTTAAAGAAATGTCTGTTTTATTCATTGTAAGATGGCTTAGGTTTAAATTTAATCCAAGCTTGAGTATTAACTTTAATAATAAATCTTATTTTAATGTGATGCGACAAAAATACCTGTGGTTCTGGTATTAGATGAATGCATATGTCAACAATAATGGAACCCACATATCTTTGAAAATAGTTTTTTCATATAAATATTTTTCTAATTTTTGTTTGCATATATATATTGGTTTCTGGCTTCGACCAGAATTTAAAACAACCTGTTGTCAGTGTTGTTGCAATTAAGAGGCATAAATAAATAAAACAACCTGTTGTCAGTGTTGTTGCAATTAAGAGGCATAAATAGGTACATCCATCTCACAAAGCAAACCATGCAAAAATATAAGCAAGTTAAAATAGGTAGAGAATTGAGAAAACTTTATAAAAAAGAATGCATGCTAAATATGATATACTTGAAAAGCATACCACATGTTGCTCAACAAAGCATAGAAGTCTCAAGAGAGAGAGAATTAGCCTCTGATGTGCTATAAGACTTTTCTACTAGTCTTGATGTTTGATTGACAATGGTCTGCCAATCACAACAAAGCATTGAAGTCTTGGAGATAGATTTAGCCTCTGATGTGCTATAGGCCTTTTCTACTTATCTGGATCTTTGATTGCAATAGTCAGCCAATCAGCATTGAGCTTGGTGGCACAACAGAGACTTTTGTAAACTCTTCCTTTCTGAGTCCTGTGTGCAGATCAGTTGTCAAACATTCTATTCAAAACAATCAGGCAGAAGCCACCAAAAACCCAAAAATGCAAGAAAAATACCCATACGTGCAGTTAATTTTACCTAAATTTATAGCTGTTGCCTAAGTTTTGTTTGCTAAGAAAATGGCTCATATTTGCATGCAATTTTAAAAAATCTTGGATTATACTATAGTTTTTACTTGCAATTTTTTTAGAAATTCCACCCAATATTCCAGATTAGGATTTCTTTGTGCCTTAACTTGGAATGAAGACTTACAGTTTTACTAAAATATTGCTTCTAGTAATGACAAAACATATTCATGCAAAATAGTTCGTAAGATCAAAGTTAATGTGCCCTTGAGAATTAATGGATAGATAAATATTTGTTGCAAGCACAAATTTTCCCCATTAAACATTTCAATTGATGATATTAAAATAACAATATAGTATAGTATTAATTGATGTCTGGTAAATTTCATGGTCATCCTACTACTGATATGAATTTTTTTTTGAAAATCTAACTTTGTATTATGCTCACATGATGATGTATAAAACTGGTAGTACTTATTTGCATGCATTTCTCTCCACTTCAGCAACTTGAGTCAGACTCTTCACTCACTGGCGATTGGCGACTTACAAACATGATGGCTGGAGAGATACCAACTGCCATTACTAATCTGGCTAAGGAGATAAATGTCTTCTCAGGATTCTTACAACTGCCTGAAGTAAGTACCTACTTTATTTAGAATATAACTGATTTTTCTCAAATAGTCTGATGTATCCCAATTATTATACAAGTATTTGCTTATCCATCACTTCCATCATTTGCTTATCCATCAAATGTTTTACCAGGACCTGAAGGTCTTCTACCAAGGCTGCGTGCCTGCTGCTGCAGCTGACAAAAGCAAGTTTGTTCTGCTGCTGCACGGCGCCGCCTTCTCGTCACAGAACTGGCGTGATATTGGAACTCTCAGCCTACTTGCCGCCATGGGCTACACTGCCGTGGCCATCGATATTCCTGGTACCTCACTGCTGATCTCACCATTAATTTGTATATATAATAGTTACGGTATATCCAACTGATCGTCACTGGTAGCTCATGGTGCTTATGAAAGAGTGATAGAAGGGACCTTGCGATCTCACCATTTTAGATCAAGGAATAATGAAGTTTTTCTGTTGGTAATCATAATGAGTCACATTCGGAATGTATGAATATCATTAGTTGAATGATTTAGTAAGATAATGTAAGGTATTTTCATATACAATTACATTACACAGACTACTTTGCACATAGTCATTATTGTTAATTGCTTACCAGAGAGTATAGAATGTATTTCAAGCTTAGTTTAAACAGGAGGCAATACCTTTCTTTTATCCTTGCACGCACTATATTTTTTCCAAAAACGAGTTCAAAATCTTCATCATTGTATTATAAAAGTAATCACGAGGGGTCTTGATAATAATAAAAGCTGTGTCAGCGTTGAAGATTAGGCCATGAGGCCGGTCACCTTCTCTGAATAAGGTTTTAATATTTGTTCACTTCCTCATGCTTAATTTCACTTGTAACTTGCGTTTCTTAATAGAATAGAAGTGTCGGCACTGCAGAAATAGGCCCATGGCCTGTTGCCAATTCTTGAATTTTTTTGTGACTTGATTCACAAGGGAGAATTAACGTGTCAACTCACCACCTTCAGGTTACGGTAAAAGTACAGGAACTGCCGTCCCGTCAGCTAGCTTCGTCCCGTCTGTGGTGCAGCAGCTACAGCAAGTCTCTCAGCTGCAGCACTGCACTCTAGTCCGCCCCATCCTCATCTCCCCCTCCATGAGTGGGCAGTACAGCGTACCCCTGCTAGTGACCGAGGCTCAGGATCCCTCTGGTGACCCGTACCTGGGGGCGTATATCCCCGTAGCTCCTGTTGCTACAGAGCAGCTCACCACGAGTCTCGCTTCTGCAGTCAGAGTAAGTCCTACTCACTCCTGGGCCATGAAATACGATACTACTCTAAAATTTCATCGTAATACGTAATTTTTATTGAAAATTTCTGAAAGTTTCTGTTTTTTACTGTCTTGTTTGCCAAGATTTTTAATAGATACCTGTGCTGTTGAAGCAGACGTTCTATGAAAACCCATTCTCTGCACTAGCTTTATTTTCTTTCAGGCTGAGGGTTAGTGTAAGTACAATTATCATTCAAAACAAATTACTCATCAAACAATTTTGTTCACGTGTCAAAAATTGGGACCTTGCAAAGTTAAAAAAGTAAAAAAGTGATTTCTTTTTCAAAAATTTTATGAGAATCTATCAGATTAATGTAAGGAAATTTTGTAATAACATTACAATATAGTCAACATTATAGTATTCTGTAACTTTTTCCCTAATGAATCAATTGAAGGAATTTTTGACGCAGTTTAAATAACCTTTGAATTCAATAATGAATTATGCATTGTGAGCCAGTGTGTGAAATTGACGATTGCTTTGTTCTCAGACACGGACTCTCATTCTACGCGGTGAAACTGATAAAAGTCTTGGGTTGAAGTCGGTTGAAAACCTGAAGCACATCCCTGACAGTCTGGTTGTGGTCATTCCTGATGCTGGGCATCCTGCGTACATCAACCAGCCCCAAATATTCCACAACATCCTGCATAATTTCCTTAATAGCCTCTGAATGCCGAGGCTATTCCTTCTCTCCACTAGACGCATTTGATTGCAACTAAAGTCAGCGGTCAAATCAAGGAATCTCACTTCTCACCTTATAATAGTGGAAGTTTCGAGTTGAAAGCTCTCTTTATTCGCCCCAAAAAGGTGACAGATCCAGCAGGTTCAGAAAGTTGATTCAGTTGCTATTGAAGTTTATGTTGTAGTGCAATTTAACCAAAGAACAATTTTTCAGGCTGAAATTATTTATCATAAATGTGGCTACAATTGCTTGTTCGATCCTGTCGATAGACGAATTTAGAGTTACTATAAATAAAGGTTGGTAAATATATTCTGTCAATTCACTGGTCCTCACTAGTGACTGTTCATTTGTTATAGACTAGCTGAAATGAACTAGTGTTCAGCTTGATTTTATCGATTTTACGCGAGGTTATAAGAAGGCAATGGTAATCCCTGATGGAATGAAAAGGTGCTTTTTATTTTTATTACCTGCATATTAACATATATGGTGAATTCGTTGCTTTTGTTTTGTGCTTTCACTCGTCCTTAACTGACTTACTCATGAAACGTTTCTTGAAAAGACATCTAATTTTACTTTCGTATTAATCGAAGTGTCGTTGATAATCAGATTTAAATTGAGGACAACTGTTAATGTTAGAGCATTCTATTGATCATGTTCATATATTCCCCTGTTTTAGCTATAGTCTCGTTTCACGTTGAGTCTCTACCGATATCCGACAGGTTCTTGAATCATTATACGCTTTTTTCGTGTCTTTGCTTGCATAGAGTTCATAAAGTTTTGCTTTCATCATTTCTTGTCATTTATCACGGTTTTTTCCTGCTAGAACATGTATGTAAGATTTATACAAGAAACTTTTAATCCGACTTGAGTTTATTCATCATTTGAGATAATGAAACTTCTTCCTGGAAACTTTTATGGTAAGAAATAACTCATAATTGTGACCAACGCGTGCAACAGCGTCCGAAGTCAAGATCTCATCGTGCAAAAGCGTTCAAAGGCAAGACCCTCAAGTGCAACAATCCTCATTTGGCTTTGGTTGATTCTTGAAAATATAAATCTCAAGCTTCTCTGAAATGCAGAGTTTCACGATATTAATTGACGTGGTCCATAGATTCCTCAGAGATAATTCATAAAATTATCTGGAAAATTGAACATCGGCTATTGAACGATGGAATTGGGAAAACCGCGGCCTATCTTAGTCACAAAATGAAATATTAAGCAAACAAACCGCACTACCCACCTACAGAAAGTCTGAGACAGCACAGCCACAACAGTTGAACAAAACACTAGTAAAGAACATGACTCAAAACAATACTTTCAACAGAATTAAAGGCTCAGGATGGGTTATTCTCTAGTAAATGTCCAATATGAAAACGAATAAAAAATTGTCCGCTAATAAACTCGTCTAGATGAAGTCAAGATGCATATATTACCCACACTCTTCTCGCTTCATTGTCACGTAATGTCCTGAGGACCCACAACAAAGTAGAGATATAAATATTCGCCATGTTTCGAAATCCTGATCCAGAGAAAAAATCTCATCTATGTAAGCAAAACTAAGAATATTCCCACGTTCAACTAGTGAAAGGAATGTCGCCAGCCACTCGCTGCTAAGACTTGCCAACTTTTGACCAATAAGCTAAGCTTCTGTCCCGCCAAACTGCTACGTTCACAGCCACTTTGGCAGAGCCGCCCAGACACGCTAGGTTCGTCGAGACGAAAAGATCAGCCAGCGTCGGATGTTGAGTCAGCAGCCAGCCTGACGAGTCTTCATCTTCACCCAGCTTGTTGCTCAGTTTGTTCAAAAAGTTGGCTCGACCCCTGCAATTTAATAAATTATTAAAAATTGGATAATATACGAAGGGAAAACCAAAAGTAACCAGACTGATTTTTAAACATTTGGTTACTTATTCCAAATCTTCTGACGGATCATTAGCTTGACTGAACTCCAAGTCACTCACGACAGTTCCGCAAGTTCGTCAATACTTCTAAGTCGATCTCTAAGGATTAGGTTAAATTTTCTCAACATTTTCTTCCGTGCGGGAAGTGGACGGACGACCGACCTGAACGAGATTGATAAACAATTGACATTTCCTCTTTCTTGAAACGAGAAAGCTACTCAGAAACTTATGTTCTACCCATAGCATCATCCTTGTAGGATGTCTGTAACAGTTCCTTGTCATTTTTTCATAAGAAAGCAAAATTTGATGGCGGCACGTTGCTAACGAAAATCAGACATCATCAAAAAAACGACAAGCAGGCAAAGGAGCGTCACAAAAAATGTACGATTATGGAACAGGGCCTTCTATGGCAGCGATGATAGGCACACTAACTGAAGAATGTCAGTAGCATATGCTAATACAATGAGAATGTGGTCATACAAAAACTTCGCCCATCACCAAGTCAATCCGGTTATTTTTGGGTCCCCCTCGTACCTGTTACATTTCAAGTATTCTCATTGCCAATTGCCAAATAGATAAATGTAATTTACAAAAGAACCTTTAGATTTTGAGATCACAATACTAATCATGTAAAACAATAATATTTACATCTATGCATGGAGAGAATTGTGGCCCTACAAATAATGATCGATGCAGAGTAGACGGAACCTCGCACAGGTCGCAGCAATTGTACCGCACTAATTCTCAGCTTAGAGCACAAGAAGCTAACACTGACTTAACTTACATAAATCTTAGGGACCTGGACCAGTGCCTGCTGGTGCCAGCAATTAGCCAGTACCTGCTGGTGCCAGCAATAAGCCAGTACCTGCTGGTGCCAGCAATGCGCCAGTACCTGCTGGTGCCAGCAATGAGCCAGTACCTGCTGGTGCCAGCAATGAGCCAGTACCTGCTGGTGCCAGCAATGAGCCAGTACCTGCTGGTGCCAGCAATGAGCCAGTCCTGGCAGTCATCGAGCCAGGCGTCACACTCTGCCAGGATATCCAGGGACAGTCCCTCGTACAGGGGCCCCTGCAGCGCCGGGCTCACAGCGTCCCGTGAGAGCAGCTCAGCCAGACGAGCCACGTAGCGGCAGATGTTGACCTCACCGGCGATCTGTTGTGAGGTCATTGTGAGATGAGGTCATTGTGAGGTGAGGTCATTGTGAGATGAGGTCATTGTGAGATAAGGAGGTCATTGTGAGATAAGGAGGTCATTGTGAGATAAGGAGGTCATTGTGAGATAAGGAGGTCATTGTGAGATAATGAGGTCATTGTGAGATAAGGAGGTCATTGTGAGATAAGTAGGTCATTGCGAGATAAGGAGGTCATTGTGACATGAGGAGGTCATTGTGTAGTGAAGTCATGTTAGATGAAATTGTAAGATGGCACGAATTGACCTAGGGCACGAATTGCCCTAGGGCACGAAGCGTGACTGAACGTTCATTAGACATTGATGTCCTGTTATCACTACGGAGCACACAGTCAATATCACAGTCCGCATGAAGATTTAAATTCACTTCGGTTATTGCTGCGTTTCAATTTAACCAAGGAAGCATGACATTTCTGTTAAAAATACATTCAGTTTACTCAATGACATTTGCTATAGGCTTTAAAGCAATTAATTCACCACATGAGACATCACTACTAGACCAATCTACTTATTGATAGGTAGCCAAATCAACCTTATTTTATTGCAGGATTAAATAATAGGAAAATACTTCACCAGATTGATCACTCGCTTGTATTGAAGCTATAAACCATAGTCGATTTAAAGACCGCGGCAATTGTTCCTTCTTTACCTACTCTATAAACTTATTATAAATCTTTTCATCTAGAAGCAACATAAACAGTTGAGGCCTCAGAAATGGTTATTTATTTCCCAATAAAACTAATTCAACATCTGATTAACTATAAATTCCAAACCTCAGTTGAGTTGAGAGGGGAAACTATAAGTCGGGGGACAGGCGCCTTCCCCCCCAGCGTGGATGACTTGGGTGAGTTGCCCCCAGTGAAGGCGGCGCTGAATATGAGACGTACTCTCACCACGGGCTCCGGCGAGCTGCTCACGCCCTTCAGGAAGTTCTTCAGCGAGTCTGGCAGGTCCTGACAAACAAAAATCCGATAACAAAAAACTTTTCACAAATTGGTAAATAAAAATACAAGAAAATCCGATAACAAAAAATTTTTCAGCAATAAATAAATATACATGTGGAAAGTTATCTATCGGCATGAAATAGTATTGAAATATTTTTGGGATGTTAGTCGCAATGCTATACTACAACACGTGAAGTAGTCTCATTAAAATATTTGCTGGAATTTCAGTAATAAATGTATCGAATTATGATGACAAGCAAACATATGTTGGAGGTGGACCATTGAAATAATTGCTGAAATTTCAACATAAAAAAGCATCGAGTTGGGGTGAAAAGATGCTAGGAAGTAACCCTTATAAAATAGCACGGAGTTAGGGTGAAAAAAAGCTGGGAAGTAACCCTTATAAAATAGCACGGAGTTAGGGTGAAAAAAAGCTGGGAAGTAACCCTCATAAAATAGCATCGAGTTAGGGTGAAGAGGCTAGGAAGTAACCCTACAGCTGGAGGTGAACGCACCCCCAGGGAGCTGTGGGTGTGGACGGACACGGCGGTGGGAGAGACGGAGGAGAGGAGGGCGGCGAGGAGGGGGAGGCTGTGAGGGGGGCGGTGGGGGTGTGCTGTGATCACCAGCTCCATGGGGCGATCAGCTGACGGCGAGCCTGGAAATATTTAACCTTATTAAATAAATACATCAATATTAAATTATTTATTCATTAGCAAGTAACCATTTTAAATAAATACATTAATATTAATTTATTTATTAGCAAGTAATCAAAAGATCATAATTAAATACATCAATATTAAATTATTCATTAGGAAGTAATCAAAAGATTATAATTAAGTCAGCTATCATGATACAATTAAAACATAAATAAAACAAAAACATATGCGTATATGTTAATGAATTTGTATTCAACAGAATACGTATAGCAAATGCAAACTAGTGATCTCTTTCAATGTGCAGAGCTGAGAAGCTTCTGTTGAAACGCTATCCCCTGAAGATATTCCTAGGGACCAGCTAAATACGAGGCATTATATTATATATAGGAATTACATATGATTTTCACTTCAGACTTTAATATAGCAGCTTGGTCAAGTCATTGTGATTGACGTATTATGATTGACGTATAATAGAACACGGAAGGGGATCGATCGTATGTCTTGCACAATTAACAATATTATATACCGTATCTGTTCATAATGATTCATCTGAACATAATGATACATATGAACATAACGATGCATCTGTTCATAATGATACATCTACAACAAGTGCGTGACACTTGACATATCTGCACTCTGGCGTCATAATAGATCATGATAGCGTTAACCTTATTCAAAATATATCAAGTAGCGAATCGAGACCTAATAACCACTTAGAAACCTAAACTCTAAATAATAATCTATATGAAACTTGTTATAGTTCATGCTTCAGTCTTAGAATTATTTTTTCGTACCTAATCAATGGTTTAAACTTTAAAGTGCCTTACTGCTACCTTTTTGGAATGAATATGGTACAAATGTAATTACACTCGGTGCGATTAAAACATTGTGAAATTATTATATGTAAATAATCATAAAATAATAATTATAAATAAATAATGATACAAATTATGAGATAAGGGTTAAGCACGTACCGGTGAGAACTGCCAAGGCGGAGCCGTAATCAACCGAACCCTTCTTGGCAGGACCTTCTGTCAAGTTGACGTCCATCTTGACGGCGACCTGTCTAATCCTGTCCTGCAGGTCGTGCAGCTGGTGCAGGATGCGGTCCTGCCGTCTGGACAGCTGGGCCGCTGCTGGCTCGCAGCTGGTAACGTCCGTCGCAGCCACAGGTGGTCGCAGGTTAGATGTTGCGAACCTGTAGCGTTAAAATTATAATATAATTTATTATATAATGTTATTTCAATAATATAATGAAAATAAATACGATTCAATAATAATATATCATTAAATGATATAAATAAATATATAATATAAGGTTACAATATTTTTCAAGAAATTTCAAATTAGCGTCTAAAACACTATGTTCTGTTCTAGTGTCGAGGCTACTAGAGCTGTTTCTAAGGACTTATGTCGTCTCCAATAAAACGTTCCTTCGCATAACACATCGTGACTTGTACAGTTAATATGAACGGCAAGCAAATTTGATTAAAGTGGAGAAAAATCCCTACAGCTGAAAATGCGTTAAAACACATTCCGTGACAACGGAAGGTCTGTTCGTATTGATCCCTCTTACTCGCGATCGTAAAGTGCTTCGTGCACAGTCCACCAATCTATGTCTTTATCATCAAATCTGACGGGACTTCCAATTTGAATAATTTAAACTAAATTTCCATCATTTAATATATCCATTCCAGTCATTTAATATTTACATACATAAATTTCCTAAATTATTGCATGCACAGTTCTGTCAGGCGCTATATTAGGCGCCACCTGAGCGATTATATTATTGGCTCTAACCTGAGGACAGGGATTCGTTGACTAAGGGGTTGAGGGATAAGTAAGACGCTTCTTTCATATAACTTATTTTGATACGGAGTAGTTATACATGAGAAATACAATAAATGTATAGGCTCAGACGTCGACCGTTAGGTCGGAGTAGCTCAACGCGAGTTACATGGCAGCGTGCTAGTCAGTTACTGGGGGCCTTACTATAAGGCTCCCAGCTCTTTTATAGACTCGCGACTTCCGCCCACTACTGAGGTCTTGATCGCTTGATCTGTCACGTGATATTGCCCATGCTGACTCAGGTCTAGTACATTTCCATCAATCTTTACCACGTCTAGTGAATATTACGTATCAATTACAGATGATATAATATTAGACTATTATTATAATGAATAGAATGAGACGCCAGGTTGACACCAGACAGCTCGGGATAAGTTGACTTAAAAATCGTCCCCTCCGCTCTTGTAGCGGCTGCGGTCGCCATACATGCGGCTGCTGCTGCGTGTAGTAAATCAAGCGAGTCACTATGACCCACTTATGGGGACGACACGCTTCTGTAAGTGAAAATTTCTCTCGTGATCTTAGCAGGGTTGGACAGCCTCACCACCCGCCTGCAGCAGAAGCAGCAACTCAGCAAACTATCCCTCACTCTCCAGCGCAGCAGCAAGTCTTCTGGCATCTCCCCTATATTAACTCCGGGGTTTCGGGTGCTGAATCTTCTCGATGAGAGAACTGCGTAGCGGTCCGACGATAGGCGGTGGCTCTACCATCAAAAACGGGACAAAGATGGGATCATGGATTTTCTGTGTGCTGACTGTCCACTTGCCCTTTTTAGAACCAAGAAGACCTCGCCAACCAAGAAAGATTTGTACGATGCAATACGAGGATTAGCTTAGCGGCGAACAAAATAGGACTTGCTAGTGCTGCACTTATGGCCGAAGCGAAGAACTCGATTAAACTTTCATAAGTTTAATCGAATTTACTCTTCCACGATGGCAGCCTCGTCACTTCTTATATATAGGGGTGTAGAACACGACACTTTTGTCTAGAAGAACTTTTAAAAGAGATTGGAAGGCCCGCCACTGTTTCAAAAATTTGAATCATCACACTAAAAAGTCTGGACGCGGTTTAAATCTAGCCCCGATGTCTCAAAGATCACCAATCTTTCGCTGACGGTAGCTAGGCTGTCCTTTAATGTATAGAATTTATATGAACTCCAAATAATTTCCTTATAACTGCAAGCTTAGTGTTGTGAACTTTAGATTCTGATTTCTGTTGATCGCTTTCGAGCACCGCCTTTTGGGCTACTATAATAGCTAATTAATAGAATTGCTACCGAGGAATTTCCTTTACTTTACCCCCACTCTCCAGTGTTTTGAACACAATCTAATATTGTATGATCCTTGCAAGGCAAGGTTTTTATAGGATGAAGGCCCGGCATGTAAAGGTTCTAGTGAAAAAATTACTAAATGACGAGGCCTTTACGAGAAAAGGTTGCTAGGTACAAGATAAGGTTCTTACAGACCAAGGTTGCTATAAGACAAAGATTTAACTAGGAAAGTTCTAATCAGATGAGTTTACAAGACGCTTTCCTAATGTTCAAGCTTCTGAAAGTCACAAGACATTCACTTACACGAAGACGTCACTCAATTGTATGACAATGGCGAACAATTCACGAAACGTCAAGCCTTGGGCCTCAGTCACATGAAGCGTGATGCACGATGGCTGTGTCACCAGCTGTCTGCGTCACCAGTTGTCTGCGTCACCAGCCTGTCTGCGTCACCAGCTGTCCAGCTGTCTGCGTCACCAGCTGTCTGCGTCATCAGCTGTCTGCGTCACCAGCTGTCTGCGTCATCAGCTGTCTGCGTCACCAGCTGTCTGCGTCACCAGCTGTCTGCGTCGTTATAGAAGAACACGATTGCGGCAGCAGCCGTCATCTGTCAACTGCATGACAGGACATTTTGGCAACGGCCGTCAAGGCTTCTCCTGTCACTTAGCACATCTGTCAACCTGCCAACAGCACGCATACGCTCTACATATTGTACAGTAACGCTGCCTTAATTGATTAATTAAATAACTATTATTAATTGACATTAGCTATTGATGTGCTTCATCAATTCCTGGCTCTCTTGCGCACGGCTAGTCTTTAGATCGCCTTTCTTGATCAGCTTCAGTTTCGTTTTCCTGTCAAAATGTCAAAATTTACGCCACGTTTGAATTCAGAACATTTTTTTTTTTGTTACCATAGAGTGGAATTAAAGGGTAGGAGTGAATTTTTGCCAGCCATGTTTGAAACAAAGAAAATAGGGAGAATGAATTTTCAAAAGCAGGACCTTTGATGATGGATGAATCCTCGGGACATATTTTTAATTGTTTATATCATTGATTCGGATAACAAAATGATAGCTTTGATTAAAATAAGGTGTTCGGGAAAGCCATGCAGGTAAACCCCATACAATTCCACCAAATCGTAGTCCTACTTTAATTACGTTTCCATTTGTTCATAAGAAATTCTATGCACGAGTTCTTCCGTGCCATTCAACTCCATGCTCATTCACATCGTCGTCATGAGATTACATTTAGTTATTAGGTATTATTTGGGAAAGAGAGTATGCTTGATCGATAAAAATCTTGAGGTTTAATTAAGATTTTGAAATACGCTTACCTGGAGCCCGTCTTGATACAATAATTTTTGCAAGGGGACGGTAAATTTACGCCTACAATCGACGTGGGTTCACTGAACTCAAGTGTCAAAAGATGGTAAAGTTACTGAGCCCCTGGCATTGTTGGAGGTCGGGTTTAGTCCCAACACGATGAAAAACTAATCATACTGAGTAAGGGAGAGCTTTAAACGTGCTTATTCCCATTACGATTAAAATAATGCCGAAACGTGAACCGGATGCGCGGTCACAGAGATAGGGCCGATTTAACGAGGAGCGCAAAGCAGCGCCACCTCACTTGACGAAGCCCGGCGGGGCACTGAGAGTCTGAGACGTTCAACACCATAACTGGGCCGAACGGTTGAGCTCTTTTTGGCAACAGAGCCTGCGGCTCTGGCGATTTTTTTCTCATCTTTCATGGTAGTTGCAGCTTGACATCAGCAGTAATACATCTTTCACTCAAGATTTGGCTAAATAGTGATCAATTATAATACGTAAACGATGAATCGATGGAGTTAATTTGAAAACAACATTTTACGCCTCACGAGTATTATGTGTTACAGTCCGAGCAAGGTTGCTACAGGCCAACGTTGCAACAATACAAAACTGCAACAGGTGAGGGCAACTGGAGGTACAGGGCCAACCAGTTCTTCAGTTTAGAAATATTCCTCAGGTTCTTCAATTTCGATTTGCCTATATATAGCAGCATTTGTCTGCGTTCTCCTACAGGGGTTGCGGTTCGCAGAGATTGCGCAATACTTGAAGGGCCATCGAGGGTAAGAAAAAAGTTTCTACAGCCACAAGTTTACTGATGACAAAGAGAAGAAGTTCTCGAGACACGATAGACCAGAAAAATAACAGCGACGATTTTGATAAGAAAACCACATGTTTGGGAAATCATGACTTATTGCATACATTTTTTCACCAATTTCAAAGTCAAAATGTACTTCAAGAAGATCAAAAAATATCAACTATCAACGCGCGTAAAACTGGAAACCCAGAAAATTGTGACTAATGATACTGATAACGGGAACTGAGATTTTAGTAAGAAAAAATCTTAAAACATATAATAATACAAGCTCTTAGGTAATCCGCTATATAAGGTGAAACAGTCTACGAGGACTTCTTCAAAGTCTCCAGCAGCCAACAGAAATATAATCACAATTTTTAATTATTTTCTTCGATGCATTTACTTGTTCAGGTATCGCCAGGTGGACGCCTCTACTAGTTCAGTAACTCTAGGCAGATGAACTAACGCACGATATGAAATAATATTATAAACTAATATTCAAAATAAACTAAATTGAAATACAATAAAAGATCGCAACAGTTACCCATTCGTGGCCCTTCAAGTAAAGCTGCAAAATTTCCCTTAGAAAACGACTCTTGTTGGATACATCTCTAAAAAAAGGGTTATGTAGAGTTTGTTATCAACGCCTAATTCAAACAGTTAAAGAAGAACTTTTGGAAATAATTGTACATTCAAATTTTTGTGTAATGTATGCACGACTGGAGCCATCGTAAGCGGAATAAGCTTGCACCAGAAAAATTTAAATTAGTGTTTGATCACAGAATTTAATCCTCGTGAAAATGTTCACGTTGAGTTTCACATAGAAATAGAAACTTTTGATCCTAAAATAAAAGTATTTAAACAATCAAGGTAGACTAAACAAATACCTTCTAACACTTAACATAGCCGTTGAGATGACCTAACCACAACAAACAACACAATAAATTCCCACTTCAAATAAGAAGTAATTCTTGGCGATCAGCCGTGCATGGAACAACATAAATGCCGCCATAAATAGTACAAAACACTGCGTGCTAAAGTAGAAAAAATTGCCTACTAAGTGAAAAGATGGCCTGCTAAATTAAAAGAGGTGGCCTGCTAAAGTAAAAAAGATGGCCTCTTGAAGTAAAAAAGACGGCCTGCTTAAGTAAAAAGACGGCCTGCTTAAGTGAAAAAGATGGCCTGCTAAAGTAAAAAAAAGGCCTACTAAAGTAAAAAAATGGCCTGCTAAAGTAAAATGCTGGCCTGTTAAATAAAAAAAGACCTACAATGAGTACAAATGAATGAATATAAAAAGTAGGCCATGAAGCAATAGAAAGATGGCCATGAAGCAATAGAAAAGAAGGCCTACTTGTCGACGGTGCAGACGGGGTGGCTGTAGACGTGCTCCAGCTTCACTTTAGGACCCACGAGCTCCCGGATGTTGTTGCTGCCGAACATGATCATGGCGGGCCTGTTGCATAAGCGTCATAAGCATATAATCTACATGATGACAGCGATCACCAGCTCTATCACGACGATAGATATATATTATCCTTGTCTGCTATCTGACTATGAGATGCTTTTTCCTATGTGTTTTAAAATTATTAGTTACTTACTTAACCTCTCTTATCAAGTTACGAGATAATCATCCTCATCTTTTATTAAAGAATTATTTAATTATCCTTATCTCTTACCAAAGAATTAATTATTTATCTTAATCTCACCTTTCAAGGGACAGACCCCAGCCGAGGACGGACACGTTGGGCGGCAGCCCCATAGGTCTGAGCATCTCCGGTCTGAAGAGACCGCTATTGCCCACCTCCACCCACTTGCCCAGACCTTCGTGATAACTGCCACACAGTATCAGTTCATAAGTTCATATTATATTATCCTGTCTCAGTCAGTTCATACGCTAATATTATATTATCCTGTCTCAGTTCATAAGAATATATTATATCAACTTGCCTTCAAGTTGTTAAGGCAGGTTTTATTCGTCGCGAAGCATAGGCTAATTGACGTCATCATCTATACCGCCTCTTGAACAATATTATTGTACAGAGCTTACGTATGAAAATCTGACAGTGCTCATTAAATGAATTTTTTGTCTATTTTTTGGGTTCCTTGCAGCAGATTTTTCAACAGACACAAGAAAAACGTACAAATTTTAATCAAATGACATAAGATTACTAAGATAGAACAGCAAGGTAACAGAGCTTGCAAACGCAAATGTTGTTAATGTCCCTAAATTTATTATTTTTAAATTTTGTGTATATTTTCACTGAAAAATAATTTGATACAACCATAACTAGAGAGAAGAATTAAATATGGTCAGCTTGATGACGTGTGTTTACTATTAATTAAGCTGTAAATAAATAATTTCCATTTGTCAAGCAAAATAAACGTCAATATAATGAGTCGGCATCAACTAAAAATCAACATAGACGAATCTTATAGTCTCAAAACCAGTGATTTTCAACAACAAATGCTTTACACAGTTTTCAACAAGTTTTCAAGCCTTGAATGCAGAGCTTGCTCTGAGACCAACTCAAATTCAACCTTGCAACTAAAGAGACATCAATTCAACCTTGCAACGAAAGAGACATCAATTCAACCTTGCAACGAAAGAGACATCAATTCAACCTTGCAACGAAAGAGACATCAATTCAACCTTGCTACTAAAGAGACATCAAGTTCGATTAGACCTTCTGTTTGCACCCTTGTATCTATCAAACCAGGGATACAAGGTGCAAAACCTTGTATTGTATATCTATCAAACCAGGGATCAAACATTTTCAAACAAACCACACAGTTCTAGTTTATATGGTATGGGAGACATGAAGTTCATTAACGCGTCATGACCAGCAAAACGCACCAACAATTTCTAAGTTATCCTCGCTACCAAGATATACATGGACAGCACAACAGCAAAATTTGTAGATGCGTTCGTTTTGCACACGTTTTGTTATGCAAGTCTAATGAAGAATGTAAGCAGAATTGATCCCTACATTGTAATAATTATTGTCAATGTACCAACCTGTAGATTTCCATGGAGGGTTCGGTGTAGGGGTTGTATGTGGCTTTGAAGCGCAGGTCTTTGATGCCTATCTTCTCAAAGAAGGCCTGGGTGCAAAGAAAAAAAATTGGCATTAATTATTTCAAATTCATCAAAATTGGATTCCAGCAAAATGAAATAAATTATAAGGAGTCAAATATTCGGCAGTCACAATGATATTAAGAATAGAATGATACTTTAATTTGAATAAATGTAACATTAATGGCAGTTAACGCACGGTTAACATGCCGATGCGGTGCAGAATAAATTATTAGGAGTCAACTATTCGGCAGTCACAATAATATTAAGAAGAGAATAATTATTTCAACATGAATAAATGTAACATTAACGGCAGTTAACGCACGGTGAACATGCCGATGAGGTGCTTCACGCTGAGGTTGTAGTCGGCCACCACGCCCTCGATCTGGTGGAACTCTGCCAGGTGCGTCGCGTCCAGAGTCTCGTTTCGGAACACGCGGTCAATGCTGAAGTATTTGGCAGGTCTAAAACCTTCCTGCAAAATAATATAGAATTAGGAAATATTAAGCATTCTCCATTGCATGGACAATTTTGTAAAGTAAATGTTTGTCAAGACTAAGTACTTAAATATGTCGTCCGAGTTTGTCAATGAAGGAAAGCAAATTTTACACTTTTGATGGAGTATTGAAATGCTCTTAATACATCTCGGAGAAATGTTTGATTGCGTAATTGGAGGGTAATATAATTGGAAAAGATGATTAAACATGACCTGCAGAAAACACCAAGTCTACAGACATTTTCCCTTCGATTTTAAAACCTTAAATAATTCCAACAAGTTATGATAAACCATGAGGCTAGAAGCTTATTGATATGAAAAAATTGCCTACGTAGCTAACTTCCGCTACAGCTAGTATGTGGTCTCTTTAATGCCAAAAGTTTTGTTGGAGCTAAAAATTCAAGATTACAGTCTAAATAAGTGCGTACACAGAAAGTATTTTCATACTACACGGTATATTATGTTTTTATATTACATGTTTATTATCATTTATAGGTATATTTCTCTCAACTAAAGCTAAAATGTGCTAAAAGTTTAACCTGTGCCAGCTTGTGGAGCATCCTAGCGCTGACGGCGGTGGTGTGGGTGCGAAGGAGATTCTTGTGGGCTTCCTCTTCACTCCAGGGATACCTGTAGCCTGATGACCCATACCCTCCTTCACTGTGCACTTTCCGCACCTGGTATCAAGCCATTGCATTCAACTAAATCTTTCAAGATGATTAGTGTTAGAGAGTCTAATATCATCTTAGAGAGTCTAATATATACGAGTTATTTTCATCAATAATATTGCTGTCGGTTTCTAGGTACAAATGGAATCATTTAACCCTCTACCGCCTGACATGAGTAACAGGAGCAATATTGTCACAAGCCTACTTCACAAAAAGGATACGTTCTAGTGAGCGCTAAATGACTTGCACTGATGGTTGCTGCCACATACGTCAACTTCAGAATGTTCTCAGTTGCGCACAAACATAACCAGGTTGCTACACTCAATATTGCACCGATGATTGCCGTCACATACGTCAACTTCAGAATGTTGTCAGTTGCGCACAAACGTCCTCAGGTCGATACACTAAATAGTTTATGAATAATTTCATTTGAATGTTCCCGCAGAGTGAGATACATTATGTTCTTCTCATCATCAAATGAGCACAATGCTGACCGTGTGCATGTAGTCCGTGGGCACGGCTAGAGCCCGTCCAGGAGTCTTGACATAGAAGGTGTCGTGCGCATCCCTGGCAGGATGTTGCTGGGGCTGGAAGAGGGCATCAAAGTTCCAGAAGGCTGACTCCACGAAGCTGTTAGTGGGCATCTCAGTGAAGCCCATCTCGAGGAAGATCTGCCGGAACTCTGAACGCAGCTGCATCAATGGGTGCAGGTGCCCTGGTCGTACTTCTTGCTTGCCCTGGAATGAGCAAAGATGAATGATTTTAAGATATTGTGCTGGAAGAATTGGAATATGTAAAGCAAGTAGAAAAGATTAAGGGGAACAGGAGGAACACAAATGTTAGAGTTCAAGGAAAAATCAAGAAACTCAGTTTAAAGAACAAGCAGAAAGGCCAGCTAAAAAACAAAACGGAGAGGACAGCTAAAGATACAAAACAGAGAGGACAGCTAAAAATACATAACAAAGAGGAAAGCTAAAGATACAAAACAAAAATTACAGCAATAGAAGTAAAAATAACATCACCATAAGATAAAGCACCTACCTTTTTCCAAGAAAGCAAATTCTCACAACTATCTTTATCATGGAAATAAATAGGTACAAAAATTTGAGCATTTCAAAGAGAATATTAATAAAACCATCTGTTTAAAATGTGCTAGTCAAATAATTCTGTTAATACATCAAACATTGACAATTGGCCAGAAGATAACCTTTGCTCTGAAGTTGAAAGGTTTGAAGGTAGTGATCTTCCACTGGCCTGACTCGATGAGAGCTTTGGTGAGCTCTGCCTCCAGCTTGCTGATGGTTGTTGTGAATCCAGGGCCTTTGCTGACGCTGAACACCGTCACGTCGCTGGCAACACACGAGTAACTTATTTATTATATAGCACAGTGCATTTGGTACAGAAAATCAGTCTATTTTGCCACATTTTTCTTCTCTTTGCTTCGTGTCCGTCTGTCTGTCTGTCTTCAAAAACGCAAACCTCAATTGAGAGCACTTCTGCAAATCCTAGAAACTTGAAATTTGGCATGCATGCTTATGCTGCCTAACAATTCAAGATTTGATCATCAAAAGTAATTGGTTTTAAACTTTTTTTTTCAATTAAAAAAACCCTAAAAAATCACCAAGGTTGGGAATCAAATTTTTTTGTCAAACATCCAGAGTTGCCAAAGCTGGAACAAGATTTGAATTGCTAAAATTTCTAAACTAATTAGTAGAAAATAAATATAAAAAACATTTTTAAAAACCAAATTTTTCTGGTGGTTACACAACTAAAAATAATGAAATAAAACAAATAAAAAAACATGTTTTCTTAACAAACAAAAAAGAAAAACATTAACTCTTACATAACATTAACGTTATGTCAAATGTTATGTAATGTTATGTAAGAGTTAATATTTTTTCTTTTTTGTCTGTTAAGAAAACTTGGTTTTTAAAAGTTTTTTATTTTTATTCATTTTATTTCTAAATATCATAGGATCTCCATGAAGGGTGTTAATAATTATTGCATATATTATTTGATTGTAGTGTTAATTCTTGCAGATAAGAAGCAATTCTCTTTCAAATATATTTTAGTCATTTTGATTAATGGATTTTCATATTTCTTGTACAAGTTTTATATGCTTATTGATTCAACATCATATTAATAAAAATGTCTTCACTAAGAAAAAGTTTTGAAAATAATAAATTGTATGAATCAATCAATGAAGGAAAAATTCCATTAGCAATTAATGCAAGCTATTGATTTTTGAAGTGGGTCTGTAAAATCCATGATTATTGATTAGTCTTCATCTCCTAGGAACATAATAGATGACACTCACATATGCACGTACCTTCTTTCTGAATTAAAAACCAACAAAGAAGCTGAGGTATTTTTACAATATATTAATCTTGTTAAGGAAGCAAAACTCACCTATCTTTGATAAGTTTACGCTTCTTGTAGTCAGCAAGTTGCTTATCCGACAGCTGGGAGTGCCTGCCAGCCACGACCGCTTGAAGGTCCTGCTGCACCACATCACTGATGCTCTCAACCACACGCACCACATTTGGTCCCTCTTTGCGGACCCACTGAACATCATAATGCACACTTAATTAAGGATTCTAAATTATTCAGAAAATTATTATGGCCATAATAACTTTTGATTAGTGGCTCCTGGCTAGAAATAATGGGGCTTAAATAAGGAAACAAATGTTGGCCACCTGAAGTCAACTCCACTTCATAAAAAGTGAATTTCTTTTTTCTAGCTGTTCTTTGGTGCCGTAAAATGTGGTAACTTAGACCACTTTTCTTTTTATAAATGATGCCATTTTTTTACTAGCTAAATTAAACTTGAATTGAAACGTGCAAAATACAGGTCTATACTCTAGCTTCACTCACCATAAATTGCTGGCTCCTGCCTCTCATAGTCTTTATGTAATTTAAATAAAAGTGATGGTCTTTGTTACCCCAGCTCTTGGGGTAACTTAGACCGGGTGGTAAAATCAATTATATTTTTTGTTAAAATAAATCCAAATAACTCCAGGTTTTGGTGCATTGTAGCAGAACTCTTCTAGTTACATATGCAAATGACAAACTTGAGGAAAGTGTCATAGTTTGCAAATGGGAGGCACTGCCCCATAATGAGGGAAATGTGACTACCTAATGGCAGCCCTGATGGGGTAATATTGACTGGCTTGGAAATTAAGTTAAAATTACCATATATAAGACTCTGTAGAGTCTGAAACATAAAGAAAAAACATAAATAGGCTGTCAAACATAAAATATGTTATATATGGTAATTTTATATTAACTTCCAAGCCGGTCTATGTTACCCCATCAGGGCTGACATTAGGTGGTCTAAGTTACCCCATTTGGGGGTGGCGCCCCCCATTTGCAAACTATGACACTTTCCTAAAATTTGTCATTTGCATATGTAACTAGAAGAGTTCTACTACAATGCATCAAAACCTGGAGTTATTTAACCAAAAAATAAAAAAAATTGGAGGGGGTACTCTGACAGGCTTTAAATAATAGCTTTTTTTCGTGGGTCACATTTGTAATTTTTTAACCTATTAGATATGCAAACTTTTCAAATCTTTCTATTATGTTATGTAGCCTCAGTATTAAGCCTTTAATGCCCATTGACAAAATTTTCCTATGTCAAATAGTTTTTGAGTTGTGGGGGTTTTTGTTAAAAAAACTAAAAGTGGTCTAAGTTACCCCGCCGGTCTAAGTTACCCCATTTTACGGTGCTTCATAGTAGAGGTGAAAATTATATATTGTATTGATAATATAATCAAAGTTTTAATGCTAATTAGATATAAAACCTGAACTTATCTCCATGAAAACATATGGTTACTTTTATAAAATCAAGATATTCTAAATTATATTTTTGTTTCAAATATTGAAGCTGAATGGGAGCTAAGTTACCTCTAGTACCTATTTACCTTGAATAAAATGAATTCTATCACATTTCACATCACTCCAATAACAAGTTAATAATAATTATTTTTGCATTTATTGGCAATAACAATCCTGAAGGCTCATATTATGGGAGACTCAGCAGGGAGACTTCAAACTCAGGACAAAGTGTGGCAAAATTCATCCACATTGATAAATCAGATGACCATAAAACTTTACATAATGTGTATTTTTATTCCAACAAAAAGTTGAAAATCTCTGAATTTACATTCCTATTTAACCTACCTAGACCATGTTAGATGAGAGCAACTCTATCACAGCTTGGCAGCAGAAAGCAATGGTAAATGAGAAGATTTAACGCAAAGGTTTTAAAGCTGAAGAAATAACTAAATATTTTCCAGCTAAATTTGTAATCACTCCCATATTTTCATGACAAACTAGAAAGTATTAGAAAAGTTTCAGCTGGCATTGCTGATAATTACAAAAAATCAAAAATAACTGACTAATGTTTAAAGTACCTATTGCTACATAAATGCATTCTTCTAAATGCGCCCAACAGGATATAGGTAACAAATTGAAGAACAAGAGGAAAAATTCTTCTCATAAGACAGTCTGGTATATCTTATTGAATGCAAATTATAATTTCTATCAGCAGCAGCATTAGAAGAGGTAATTAGCTTGTGTTGTACCTTGTTTTTGAGAGCTGCTCCAAGTGCAACATTGGCAGTAGGGAACTCTTTCTTGATTGCGTCTACAGAAGCGCCAGCTTTGGAGAGCCAGGAAAAAAGTCGAGCTTCATGAGAGCCTTCCTTGCTTATTTGAAGGCCTTCTTCTGTACAGCTCCAGCATTTGACACTCTTTGAAGAGACACTTATGACCTGAAAAATTAAAATACCATTATTCAAGGATTTTCAACATCCTGAAGACGAATTTAATAATTTTCTAACTTTTTCTTTCACATCAGCAAGATCACAATAAAATTTTTACAAATGTTTCATCAATTTAAGGAAAAAACCTAAATCAAATCTGTTTCAACTAGCAAGTGGGGTGAGATCCTAATTTTTCTGAAGCATAGTTTGCAATTAAAATTAATATATCTAGTCAGCAAGAGACGCATCAATGAGTATACATTAACCATTCCATAATATATCATGCGTCAAGTTCTTGCACCATCTATAGACTATTACCATCTTTAATGGTAGGCTATGTTTAAAACAATCTGGAAAATTGGGCAGCATTTTCCCAAAATCACAGGTTAAAATAATCATTTAATCTATAACTTTATAAAATCAAGAGCAAATATTTTTTAATTACACTGGAGAAGTTAATCAAGGCCATAGAAAATGAAATTGTACACTACCTACATGATATGGGCATTTTTTGCCAAATTAATGGGTGGCCAGGGCCTGGTGGTTGACACCTAATTTCACAGATTGGTGCTTGCAGCTAGAATATTATCAGGTAGCACTTAACAGCACAGCAATAATTAAATATGGCGATTATGTTACAATTACATAAAAGAAAAGTTTTGAATGCATAAAATGAACAAATAGGGTAAACGCGGTATATTCCAACATCGTAGGTAATTCCGTCACTTCTCTACTTTTTCCTTTATGTTAAGCTTTGTTTTAGTTCCATGCAAATTTGCTTAATTAAAAGCCTAATAGCTGTTAATTAAAACGTAATTAAGTAGTGTTCAATATTTGTTAGTGTTCTAATTCAAAGCCATGTTGTTACAGCTCACACAGCGAACAGAATTCGAATACGTTGATGTCGGCATTACGTATCAGTTAAATTTGAAGCGCTGACGCAATACGACTCACCACGTGTCGAATATTGCCACACACAGTGACGGAATATAGGGATTTGGTAGGTTTCCATTCTAAATGCTTTTTAATAAATATGGCAACATTTTGTGACGTTTCATTGTTGCTGACGCGTAGTGAAGTGTTTTGAGAGTCATATGAAGGCAACAGAACTTACGTAATGGTAACGCATACGGTTTTTTTTATAGTTTTTCATTTCTCAATGCGTCCTTAATGTGTTGGAATATACTGCGTTTACCCTAGATAGGCTAAATGAGAAATAACAAAAGAATAAGAAAAATGTGAAAAAATAGCACAAAGTCATGATCAGCAGTTCAGGACAGATTGGAGATTGGACTAACTATATTCAAGTATATTGGAGATTATAGGAGATACAAAGGAAAGGTCAAACTCAAAGGGGTTGGTATTTTTTTCTCATCATTGTAAACATAAACTTAGCTGCAAACTTTCAGTAATAAGAATAAATTTACAGTTCTTATATGATGGCAAACAAGAGATTTAGGTATTAGAAACCAGGACATTAATCAATCATGATAGGCTTAGGTGGCAAACCAGAGATTTTTAGATCAGTTCATTTCTAATTTTCTCATTTACTCAATATCAATATTCAAACCAAAAATTTTATGGATGACAATGTTGGCATCCATGTCCCATGATACATTGCTTTACTACTTTCAGGACTCAAAATTAAACTGAAGGATGAGTCCAATAACACTTTCTGGTTTGCCACTCTGATTAGCTATTTAATAATTTCCTGATATACTTTAAATTTTCATTCAATATCTTATACATTTCAATACTGGTATCAATGATACTTACTGGCCTACCTTTAAAACTCAAAAAAGAAAGGCCAACAACTAAGTAGTTCCTTGTAAATCTCAATAACTGTCTTGTTAGTCACTCGGAATGATTACTGCTGGCCTGTCTAAACCTAATTAAATAAGAATCTACTTCGCCAGTTAATTTTATGATGCTTGTAAACTTACATTACCCAATGTTTCCAAAGATTTTATAGCTCCGACAACTTTTTGATGCTCCTCTCTGACTAATATTGAATAAGCTAAAGAGTCGATTGAGTTTTGACTATTTAAATCGTTTAATATTCGTTGAGTCAGGTCACCTTGCGAACCCATGTTGACAACGTGTTTTGATTTGGCAGCCGTGTTGACAGTTACACAAGCGAAGTCATGTAGAAATGCGTAAACATGAGCATTTCCTCATGTTCACATGAATTATTTAATTTTTATATGCCTTGCATGTCTTCAAATTAATTAATATGAGCACAATAATACTTTATTCACATGAATTACCTAATACATTGCTTGAATCGCTTCATGAATTGACAAGGCGGTAAAAAAAATAACATACATTTCTGCCTTGACTTCAGACCGACAGAATTGCTTAAAGATTATTGGTTTATTGTTTGACGTATTAGCTGCTGCCATCAATCTTTTACTAGATTTACTTAAAAGTTCCACCTATACGGTTCACAATTCAAACAGCACTGTAGACCTAATTTAAGTTCTTAATGTTAAGTAGAAAATTGAAATAGAATTGTCCTTTAATTAACCGAGGCGAGTTCGCTGAAGTGTCGAATCGGTTTAAATTACCGCTGTCAATTACTTACCGGCTGTCGTTAACGATTTGATCTGTCGTAAGTAAGCCGAAAAACAGCTCCATTGTTAAAAGCGCGTCTAGTTTGACCCCATCAGGAATACAATAGCATTAATTACATTACTAATATCAGCTCTAAAAACTCATCTTTTGAGAAATGTGGTCGAAATTGTGCTGAGGCTTTACAGTGATTCAATGCCGAGACGCAACGATTTTTCTGCAAAATTGTTCGCGATTGTACGTTTTGAGATAGATTTAAAAATGTCCAAAGCTGTTGTAATGTAAAGTAACATTAATAAGCATTTGTAGGAAAAAATATCATATGCTCTAAATAAGTCGACTAGGTAGGTAGTCTGTTCTTTCAATGGCCCCTATTGTGTGCTTATCTAAAACAAGCTGCATGACATTACAATTCTAGCTTCACGTGAGGTGATCCGCAGGGCGCCATACATGCAAGTTGTGCTAAATGAGAAGGTTGATAGTACACCCGCTGAAGGAGGCCATGAAGGTCAACAGTGGCAGGGTGGCCCGCCCAGTGGTTACAACTGAATTCCAAGATTGGAGCAGAGAGGTGTGGGTTCAATCCTACCTCTGTGCGCCAGTTTCTGGTCAGAATCGAGCGGAGGCCGGGCGGTTAAGCATAGCAGAATTGAAGCCGTGAGTTGCGTGTTCAAGACTGCGACAGACAAACGGCCTGAAAAAGCTAAACCCGCGATTATTAATATTATTTTAAATATGTTATTTATTACCATTATTACATATCAACTATCATTACTATTATTATTTTTATTAGGTATTATTCTTACCTAAGATTAATTTGAATTCGGTTATCATGTAAGAATTGTAAGATAATAAAAATTCGACATACTGTTTTCAATTACATCCTATTCTTCAGTGTAATGCAGCTTTTGCCTTAGATATGCTTGCTTTTGGTGACATGCTATCATCCATATCATTATCGCATCATCATTCGATAAATGATAATACCAAAAAATAGGGGTTAAAAGATCACCTTGAAGCCTTGTGAGGCTTTTTAGCGCATTTTTTACATTTATGGAAAAAAGGCGCTATTGTGCTCGTCATGTCCGTCCGTCTGTCTGTCCGTCCGTTTGTCTGTCCGTCCGTCTGTCTGTCTGCCCGTCCGTCCGTCCGTGACCACGTTTTCGTCGACGAGAAAATGGGGTCGCCTGCCGAAGACCACCACTGCCCTGGATGCAATGGACCATCAGGAACGTTTCAGCCTTCCGGAACGTAGCCTTCAACACTTCAAGCCGTCCGTATCTAGGCCGTGGGTCTAACCAGCCCTCGGTCGAACGGCCACTTGTCGAAGGACGAGAAATTTTGGTATAGAACTATGCTATCTGAAACCTAACCTCAGATACGGTGAACGTAAAATTACGTAATTTAACAATGCCCGGAAGTCAGATTCGATCCGCGGCCTGGTGGTGCACTGCAGGTTCTATGCGAGGCCGGAGGAAGACAAAGCCGAGTGGTTCACGGCTGATTGGTGGATGTCCGGAAAGATCCAAGGTGTTCGATTCAGGGCTTATTGGTGCACAAAATTGGTGGTGCACGGCTGCGCTCCCGAGAAAATGCGCTCTCTGTCACTCACTGCAGTGAGTACCGAGTTTTATTTTCTTAGCTTATGGGTATTCACTCGGAAACTTTTGCTATTTTATTTCGAGTTCTATCATTATTATTATCATTATCAATATTATGAGAGGAAAAAGTCGGAATTTGATTGCAAAGATCGCATGTATGTTTGTGTGCGAAGCAACTGTGACAGCGACTGAGAGCGTGCGGAGACTGATGGAGCGAGCAGGAAGATGTCATCAGTGGGGTCCTGTGGAGTGGAGGAAGTGGAGTCCTGTGGAGTGGAGGGAAAATTTAAAACCAGAGTTATCATTCCGAATTTTAACAGATATGGCTTTTTTAGGACAAAATTCGCTGGTTTTATTCCACAATTCTCAGTCTCTAAGGACATACTGTATCTATACAAACTTTTTAACTGAAAATGTTGTAGCATGCTACTGGAATTTTTAATACATGAATGCATGTCGAGTGGCTGATAAATCAAAAGGTCTTACTGTAGGTCCATTGCACCCCGATTATAATTTCATGAGTTCTGAGCAGTGGCAATAGTAGTGTAATGGCCTAACCTCTTACTAGTGATTCTGCTACAGTGCCCTGAAGTCACAATTTATTATTAATCAATAGAATAGAATAGAAGTGTCGGCGTTGAAGAAATAGGCCCATGGCCTGTTGCCGATTCTTGAACTATTCGTGACGTGATTCACAAGGGATCCGGCCTTTGGAACCCGATCTTTCTATAGCTGACGATTGATTGAGATAGCTGCTGGACTTATTGCCTGATCCGTAATTTGCTAGACATTTTAAGACTGAACATATGCTCCTGCATAGCTTCGTCTAGTCTGTTTTTGAAGATGTTCATACTCGGAGCGTCAACGATGCTATCAGGGAGGCTGTTCCACATGTCGGTGACTCGAAGCGATCCATCTCTGATCCATTTGAGTACATTACTCTCAATTCCCAAAGACTTCAATTTACGCAACAACCGGTCATGTGGGACACTGTCAAATTCCTTGGCAAAATCGAGGTACACTGCATCTACTGGCTCCCTTTCGTCCAGCAGGCGGGTCCATTCGTTTCAGAGTCGACAAGAGGTTAGTGGTGCAGGATCTCCCGGCAATAAAGCCATGTTTACAGTCTGATAGGAGATTATTAGCAGTCAAATGATCTATTATTAGCATGATGAGATTATTATCAAATGAGATTATTTATATGTTCAATCAAGAAATGGCTGTAGACTTTTACGGCGCTGTATGATTCAAGCAGTGTAGAACTGATCCGGCTTACGGTGTTACAGCGAGATCAGCGGCTCCCGTCTCTGAGCCGCTGATCTTTCTGGCTGAGTGAAGTGTCGCCAGAGCTGGGCAGCGCTACTTGGAAATGTAGCGGCGCTACCGCTACCGCTACATGCTCTAAATGTAGCGGGCGCTACCGCTACCGCTACACCCACTAGATTGTAACGGGCGCTACCGCTACCGCTACAGTAAAATGTAGCGCGCTACATTAGCCGCTACAATGGCCAAAATTATTGGAAATCT